AGTTTGAGCACCATTAGACAAATAACATGACTTGCTACTATTCCGGGAATTATTAATTACACGACCATGGCGATACAGAATCAATTTCATCAATTCCAAATGTCCATAGCTAGGCGCTGCTAAGTCAAAGCAATTATTCTCATTTTTGTTTGGCCAATCTGAGAATGAGCAGCGTCCCAAGGCATTTAGACAAAAGGCAAAAGGATTTTTGGGGTCGTCGGTTCAGCAACATCATGCTAAATCACACGCTACGCCGCTACAATCAATCAATGCGTTGATCAATCAATCAAAAGGACTCACTCAGGGCGGGGGAGGACAGCTGGCAGACGGACGGGTGGCAAGTCAGCCGCGGTGGAGGAGGCCAGCTTGAAATCGAACTGAGGCTCAGTCATTACAATTATGGCTAGTCAATTATTAACCAGGCCCGGGGAAATGACGCACTTTCACCGCATTTGAGGTAGCACAACCTGCCGAAAAGTGATTAGACCTGGCTAATGCCTACGGTTTTTGGGGGACTTACACTAAGGGAAATAAAATTGTGGAATTACCAAAAACACTACACTACTTTCTAGGGATTTCTACTCAAAAAATCTACATTTATATTGAGTTTTAAAACAGATTTATAAAAGAATTTCTATTTACACTTCTTTACTATTAAATAAATCTATTAAAATACCTTTAAGAAGCCGTGTAAATTGTCATACAACTTGTATAATCGGTTAATAACTATAGTTCAGTTTGAAATATTTCTGCCTTGGCCAGCAGCAGTTACTGATAGTTAATGGCGTCTGCTCTGACATAATTACAATTTTAGTCAATTTCCGTTCCTCGGGTGTTTAGTTTTTATTTGGCTGCCAAAAGCACTAAAAACGATTTTATTGATTTGTGTTGTCACGCAACTTCCTCTAATGGCTTCCTCTGCCTGCTCCTTATTCCTTGACCCCGCCTGTATTTCCTTTTTTTTTCTCTCTTCAGTTCTGCTTTCCCAAATTAGTTTTTCCTCCCAAGTCACAAGAAGAATCATCCATAATTAAAAAAGCTTGCCAAAGTCAATCCTCAATATGTGTGATGTCTTGAGGATTTTCAATTAGTTGTCGTCACCACCCTGCGGGCATGGCATGGGGGATCTGGGCGGGATTGGGCTTCCAGTAGGCTTCCACTGCTTAGTCAGCGGCAAGAACATAATGAAGTCGAAATGAGTTTAAACAGAGAGGGTTCAGAGTGGGGGGAATCCTCCCTCGTCTGGCCTGAGTCACATGTGCGCCAGACTTTGACTTTGCCTAAAGACGCTTAATGTAAACCCGCCCTGGTAATTTGCATTCACTTGAACCCTCTCGCCCCCCATGGCAATTTCCAGGTCCCCCTATCTTATTGGATTTGCCGGTTAATAAACTATGCACTTACTAATTAAGTACGCGACTCGCTGTAAATAACTTATGTCGGCAAAGTGAGTGGAAAACGCCCTCAGCCATGCAGCTGAAAATTTAGCAAGAAAAGAAAACTAGTTATAATGGAAGGGGAAGGCTAGTTTCCACGGTTAGGAGCTTGTAATACTCTGAAAGAAATGTTAATTCTGTTTTATTCTCTTGTAACATGACCTTATTATGTTTACGAAAAAATGAATACATTTTCTATGTTGCTTGAGACTGCAGTCAGTTGCTCTCAGTAACTTTGTTAGAAGATCAAGGTTGTATATATTTTAAATTTGAATTATTCTTGGTTAAAGGTTACATTTATTTTTACTTTCAATGCCTGACTTTTGACAGATAATAACTTTAGCTATAAACCCATCATCAAACTAAAGATACCCTTATGCAAGGGCATCGTGCCATTTCTGGGAAAAACGAATGAATAATTGAATTTTAATACTTTCGTGTGACAAAGAGAGAGTGAGGCAAGTCTGGAAAATGATTACACTGAACTTGACAAGGGAACACATGAGGTTGGGTATGAGGAGGCAAAAGGACGAGGGCCACTGGCCAGGACATTGCTGCCAGGGCTGCCCTCATGTAGATGCATAAATTTCCCGCTGACAGCTTCGGACGGAGGGGTGTTTGCTGTTCCATTGGCACTTCATGTGTCCATTTAGGCAACGCTCTGTGTTTTTTTCTCCTCCTTCTCAGGCCTAAGCAAACCTGCACGCGATGCACACTGGTAATATTTATTGTTTTTGTGAAAGGTATTTGAAAAGAGGTATATGGTATTTATGAAGCTGAGAAATGCGCTTTTTATGTTAAAGATTCTTTTTGAAGATATAAATATTAAGCTCACTAGAGCATCATACTATAGTTTTATCCTAAAAATTCACCTAATACAGCTCTTAACAGCAGGTAGTACTGGTTACCAATAATTATTGTCTACTTTTAGGCGCTAAATTTGGAGATTTCTGTGTGTTCTTTTGTAAGATTTACATTTTCTCATTTCATTTTATTTATTTAATAATTAAAAATCTCAGCTCTTATTTGGAAATATTCCACAATTTGCTGAGTACTTCACTGGTCGATTAACAAACTTTACTGTTTAATATTGCTGTTGCTCCAATTGTTGTTGTTGTTCGTTCCAGTTGCCTTTGTTGTTGTAGTCGGACCATTCTCGTTAGTAAACAGCAACAACAATAGGGTGCCATCAACAATGCTCCGCCTTCTTCTCTCCTTTTGAGCCTGAGCAGGCAGGTTCCTTTTTTATTGAATACAGTTGTTTGGCCAGAACCACGCCCCGTTCGGAACACACACACACACACACAAATACTCTTGGCACACACTCACGCAAGTGGGCGGCATAAATGACCAGTTTTTTTGTATGTATTTGTGTGTGTGTGTGTGTTAATGATGCCCTGGTATTTCGACTGAATTATTTATATGCTTATGCATTTGCAGTTGGCAAACTGCAAACAAACACCAAAATACCATTACAGTAAACACACTTTAATAGTTTAATGCCAACAGAAACTTTTATACCAATTGCCACGGGGTATTAAATTGAGATGAAAACTAGACCAAAGTTGCAATTTGGCCTATAAAAAATATAAGTTTCAGTTAAGAAAGTGCCTAGAAAGTTGTCAGAAGTTATACATTTGAGAAAACTGAAATACCCCTAAAGGTTCATAAAGATAAGAAATCTAGTAAAAATATGTTTATAATTTTGTTTTTCTTTATTCAAAACTCTTTCCTTCAATAATAAATATTTTTTAAGTGCAAAAATATTCTTAAAAAACGTATAAACATTAAATAAATATCTAGAAGTTATTAAAGTTGGTTTTTCTTATTTTTTTCATCGATTAAAACTAATAATAAAGGTTTCTAAACTTTATACCTTCTAAATTATTTAACTGGGAAAATAGCTATTATATATTCCCAACTGATATTCATAATTTTTTTGAGTGTAACTAGACTTTCATAGAATATGCACAGCATATAATAATGCCCATTTGACTGAGAGAGCATCGTGGACGCCGGCAGACGCTTTTGACGCCCAAAACTTCCGTCCTAACGACATCTGCTCCTCGTGTCCTTGCCGCTGTTGCAAGTTTCACAAAGTTACACAACAGCAGCAACAATGTTCCGGGGTTGCTAAAATAGAGCAACTTTTCGAGGGCCAGCAGGGGTGAGAGACATTCACCGACACATGTCAAAGTTTTGCAATTTCAAAGATTTCTTTTTTTTTTTTTTTTTTGCTCTCTAATTTTTGTTGCGGGCAGTTGCGAACATGATTTTTCGGCAACCGCAGAGGAAAGAGCAACTGCAGGCTTTTCTCCGCTTTTCTGACCACACAATTTACGTCGTATGCCCTTCCCTTTCCCTTACATTAATCCATTAAAAACTTCGTTTAGCTTCGGCCAAAAGGCAACTTCATTTAAAACCAATTTCATGGGCGCCCACACCACGGTTTTTGGGGGGGGAAAATCAAAGTTGCACATTGTTGCCGTGTCCGGTTTTTTGGGAGGGGAAAGGAGGAGGAAGAGGAATGGGAAGTGGTGGGATTTCCTCCAACTTTTGACCGCCGTGTGACATCATCGTTGGTGAACGTCACGTGCCGGGTACAGTTCGTATCCTTGGGTCTCCTGATGTGCCACTGACAGAAATTACAGTTGGCGTGAGTGGAAAGAAGTGGAAGTCAGCGGTGACTCTGACGAAATAATTATTGCACACACTTTCTAGGCCACACTTGATTGACAGGACAGCAGGACTAGCAGGACTTGTGACTAATATTACCATTTTGCCAGCAAATTGAGTTGTTAACTAAGCAGAAAGTCGGTCTGCGGGGAAACTGACCATTAAAAAGAAGGCTTGAATATTTAAAAAGGGTTTTGGAAAAGGGAAGTAAGGGATATAGTTTAAGGCTATTTATATATTTAGTAATTGAACTTAATTTAAGTAAACTTTTGTAATGCTTAGACACTTTATATAAACCAAGTTCCGAGGGATAGAGATCACCTAGTTAGTTTTAAATGAGCTTATATTAAATAAAGGTTTTTGTGTTCTATTTTTTCTTGAAATTAATACATTTAAACGCATGAACATGTAGAAAGCTATGCTGATATAAAAATATCTCCGTTAAAAAGCTCTGCTAAACTTCGTAAAAACCTCTGTAACATTAGCTTTAATGAAAGAAATTGTTAAGAAAAAGCACTAAATAACAATAATAGAATTGAGCTTATGGTAATTACAAACACAAACACCTTAAATATAAGCTTAAATAGACTTTAGCTGAACTGCAATCTATCCCTGAAGCGTATAGAAAACTGCGCAAAATTAGCTTAATTAATGCAAAGCTAAATCTTTTAGCGCGGCTTAAGTGGAGCAGCATCAGAAGCTGCTGCAGTAGCAGCAGCATCAGCAGCAGCAGCAGCTGGGGCAACAATTAGTTTAATTTATGCAGCGCCGCGTTGCACTCGAGATTTGCATTAAGCTCCTCCGCCGGCGCTTTCGACGATAATGAATACGAAACTAACGAGAAACTAACTATATTTTCACATCCTTGTTTTTTTGGTTTTGTTGCAGGAGAATGGAAGATCAGTTCCTGATGTTACTGCTAGCCCGGGACGTGCTCCGCCCGGCCCGCTGCCCGCCAACCAGCTGTCCTCGTTGGGTAACCAGCAGCAACAGCAGATGCACCACCAGGGCAACCAGCAGCAGCACCACCACCATCAGGGTAACCAGCAGCATCATGGCAACCAGCAGCAGCAGCATCATGGCAACCATCGTGGCCAGAGCGGCGGCTCCATGTCGAACTCTGGCGGTGGGGGAGTCAAGGATCCGGTGATGTTGCAGGGTGACTTCCGCAAGGTCAGCGGCATCAGCTCCGAGATCTTTCGCCAGATAGAGGCCGTGGAGAATGACCACGATCCGAACACGGCGGCGGCCTTGGAGGCGGTGGAGCGACGCGGCGAGATGATAGTCCGCATCCTGGAACCCCGTTGCATGGGCAGCAAGCAGGCCGTGGATGCTGCCCACAAGCTGATGAACAAGGCGGATGGAAGGCACACGGTGCAGCTGGTGGAGATTGTCAAGCGGCCGGGACAGACGCTGGGCCTGTATATCCGCGAGGGCAACGGAGCAGATCGCACTGATGGTGTGTTCATCTCTAGGATTGCCCTGGAGTCGGCGGTCTACAACAGCGGCTGCTTAAGGGTGAGTTCAGAGAAGGGATACCTTTTAGAAGCATTCTAAATCCATCCTTAAATTTCCTCCAGGTGGGCGATGAAATCCTGGCGGTTAACTTGGTCGATGTTACCCACATGTCGCTGGACGATGTCGTCATCATCATGTCAATTCCGCGCCGCCTGGTGCTAGCGATACGTCAGCGGCGCGGCAATCGCGGCACAGGTTCCCCAGGACCGCCGACGCTGTCGCGTCCGGAGCAGAAGCCGCCGCCGGTGGTGGTGATCAAGCGGGATCTGCGGGACGAGGATCTGGACGAGACGGACCGGATGCCTAGGCCGCGCTCATCACGTGAAAGACGTACAGGTAGTTTGAAATGGAAGCCGTGTTCGCCATGCTAATCCGTATTTTCTTTCCTCCATTTATTCCAGGAGATGGCCGCGAAATGACCGAGTCCCGATCTCGCCTGGGCCTGGGCCTCAACAACTACAGTCCGCAGTCGGAGCAGCTGGACATGTACTACAATACCCGCGGTGGAGGCGGCGGCGGCGGAGGAGGAGGAGCCATGGGTGAGCCCCCGAACTGGGGCTACAAGCCACCGCCACCGCCTTCTTCGGTGATTACGGAGCAGCCGACGAAGGGGCATGCTTTTGCGCCATCGCATGCTTATTACCAGAATGCTGGAACCCTAGAGAGTCTGGCCGAAAAGGTACATGCCTTCTATCCGGGACAGCCGGGAGGTCCGCCTGTGGTGGGTCCTTCGAGAAGGATGTCCACGGGCACCGGCAACGTGGGTCTCGCCCAGCAGCACGCTCGATTCCCGCGTTCCGGCTCGGATCAGCACTTACCTCGCGTGGAGTATGCCGACTACTCCAACTCCCTGGGGCGGCATTCGCTGCTCCGCTCGAGCCTGAAGCCGGGGACATCGGCTGGCGGAGCACCGATGCCCGTGGGCGTGGGCGGCACCCTGGGACGCTACGGGCGTTACGACCAGCAGCGCGGCGGTGTGTCCAAGTACGGTCCACCAGCTGGCGGAGCACAGTCGCTGACACGTCGCTCCAGGCCCAACCTGGACTACTCCAGCGATACGGAGGCGACCATTGGACCGCGGCCAAGTTACTATTACTACAATCGTCCCGCCATTGGCAGCATGCCGCGTGGAGCGGGACCCGGTCCCGGTGCGGCTGCAGCGGCCGCTGCCATGTTGGCCGGAACAGCGGATCTCAATAAGTTCAACTCGCTGCCCAGGGAACGTCCCGGGGTGAGATTGGGTGGCATTCGGTCGCGGATGGGCGATCGCTTGGTGGACGAGAACGATGGCAATACCTCGGCGCCCGAGTTCGATGTGCGGCGGGGCAGAGATCTGCGCCAGCGGATCACCGCCAGTCCGTCGATATTCACGGCTGATGAGTATCGTGCCTGGCTGAGACGGGCGCCCAGCAGCTCGGCGATTGCGGAACAGATGCGAATGACCCGGGATATGTTTGCCCAGCCCCGGGCGCAGAGATTCTCCTGCAGCGCTGAGAATATCCACGATGCTTTGAGAAATGTAAGTTGAACAAAAAAAGAAAACTAACTAAGGGAAGCAGACATTTTGATACCCTTGCATATCAAAAATCAATCATAACTCAGCCAAAAATGCATTAATTTCAGTTCGGAAAGCTTTTCTGTGTTAGTTTTTGGAAGGTTAAAAAATCTGCATACTAAATTTACTATTTTAAAAAATTCGATTTTTAATCAAATTTTGAAAATTTTAATGATGTAACCCCTTACAAAATTTTGAAAAAAATTCAAAAATTTAGTTTTCTCTCTGACATGTCTAGAAAGACTCGCCTGTTGATCCTGATCAAGAATATATATGATTTATAGGGTCGGAAATGATTTCTTCATTTGCTTTTTATAAATCTCCGTATTCATCTTCCCCCCTAGACGGAGAGCATCTACTCGAGCAGAACCCACATCCTCGGCACCGGCACTCTGGATCGCAATATGGGCTTGACCCGCCCAATTTCCGCTTTGCCCGTGCGCTCCATGTCCTCGCAGCATATCGGCGGAGCGGGTTCTATACGCTCGCCTAGCATACGGCGGATGCGGCAGCTACTAGAGCTCTCTGCCGGCCCAGCCAGTCCCAGCGGCAGCATCATGAGCACCGGTGGCCACCAGAGTCCGGCACCGACGCCAAGTGCCACACTGCCCCGACAGCACCGTCAGATCGACATCAATCCGGCGGAGTTTGCCAAGTACAAGCTGGACAAGCCGATTGTGGATATCGGTGGTGTCTCCGGCATGTTATGGATCCATCTGCTGGCAGGTCGCAGCCTGAGAACGGCGCCCGAAGGAGCCAGCGGAGGAGCAGCACAGCCGGGACAGACCAGGGACTTGTATTGCGTCATCGAGTGCGATCGCGTACACAAGGCCAGGACAGTGGTGCGTTCGGGGGATCTGCAGTTCGACTGGGATGAGTCCTTTGAGCTGGACCTGGTGGGCAATAAGCAGCTGGATGTGTTGGTCTACTCCTGGGATCCCCAGCACCGGCACAAGCTGTGCTATCGTGGAGCCATCTCGTTATCCGCCATCCTGCGCCAGTCTCCGCTTCATCAGCTGGCCCTGAAGGTGGAACCCAGGGGCACGATATACATACGGATGCGGCACACTGATCCACTGGCTCTCTACAAGCGTCGGGGACTGCCCAGCCTGAGGGCTGGCTATCCAACGCTCTTTGGCGCCGATCTTGAGACGGTGGTAAACAGAGAGTCGAAGAATGCGCCTGGATGTGCGCCAGTACCCATCGTCCTGAGGCGCTGCGTGGAGGAGGTGGAACGGCGGGGGCTCGATATAATCGGGCTGTACCGACTGTGCGGCTCCGCCACCAAGAAGCGGCTGCTGCGCGAGGCCTTTGAGCGTAATAGCCGTGCCGTGGAATTGAGCCCGGAACATGTTCCTGACATCAACGTCATCACCGGCGTGCTCAAGGACTACCTCAGGGAGCTGCCCGAGCCGCTGTTCACGCGCTGTCTCTTCCAGATGACGGTGGATGCCTTGGGTAAGCAGAGGGTCCAGGGATCTTTTAGATCTCTAAGCTTGAAAAACCAACTAAAAGCCTTTCTTTGTTTTATGCTCCAGCTGTCTGCCTGCCAGATGACCCGGAGGGCAATGCGAAACTGATGCTTAGCATCCTCGACTGCCTGCCGCGGGCGAACAGGGTAAGTTTCAATTGGAATCCGACGAATCCCAACCAGAAATCTGATCAAAATTGTTACATTTAATAGGCCACCTTGGTGTTCCTGCTCGACCACTTGTCGCTGGTTGTCTCCAACTCGGAGCGGAACAAGATGTCCGCCCAGGCGCTGGCCACAGTGATGGGTCCACCGCTGATGCTGCATTCGGCGAGTGCGCAGCCGGGCGCTGACATTGATCACGCCCAACCGATCGCGGTGCTCAAGTATCTGCTGCAGATCTGGCCGCAGCCGCAGGCGCAGCATCAGCAGCTGGCGCAGCACATGGGCGGCGCTGCTGGGGCAATGATGGTGGGCGGTCTGGCCACAGCCGGCAGCATGAGCAATATGGCCGGCGTTGCTTCAGGTAACGTACTCCCAGTGTCCGATACTTCAAAAACCGAGTAATACCCCCTCAGAGCAACCCCAAAAACCACAAAATCCACACTGGACACTAAAAAAAAATAATAAGACAATTTAGCAAACACACACACACTTGCAAGAGTTTGATTCCTTTCCTTTTGTTTCTGCTTTGGATGCAATGCAGCATCAGCAGCTGTTTTCCAAGCCAAGATCTTCCGCCACCCAGCTCGACCTCTTTTCAACTTAAAACCTAAAACCTAAACTTGAACTCAAGTGCGGCACTCGAACCGTTCTCACTTGTTAGCTGTTAATGCAAAACCACACACAAAAACAAGACATACACTTCGCAACATACATATGTCTATCAGTCCGAAAATCACCAGGTTGCCAATGTTTTTTACATGAATTTATTGATCAGTTGAATTGAATTAATAGAATCATATCATTGACTTTTTTACAAAATATTAAAAATATTTAAATTGATTTTAGAATATTATAAATAAAATATTTTAAATATTTGAATCATTTTAAAATTAAATATTTACCCATAAATTAATATCTTCTGGATATTTCTTAATTTAAAATATAATATACAAATTTTTAAACAATATAAAAATTTCCAAAGATTTCTTTATTTCTATATTTGGAATTAACTTGAAAGCATCCATAAATAACATTATTAAATATATTAAATTTATATGTATATATTAAAAAAATAATAGTTAAAAAGAAAAACATATTAAAACTAAAACAAGTGGCGACCGTGACACCCAACCGTATAAAACCAAAATCACTCAACCACTCCACCATATCCAGTGTCCACTTTCAAAAAAAAAAAAAAATAACATCCCACTCAGCCTCACCGACATGACCTCGATTCGCGTCCACATTAATATTGATTAATACAGAGTCCTATGTAGACAGGTCGGCGCGGCGAGTCAACAGGGCAGCGTGGAAGCAAAGTCAGTGCGTTGCCAGCGGACAGACAGGCACTTCTACTGCAGCAGCAGGCGCAGCTCATGGCGGCGGGCAACCTACTGCGCTCGTCCACTTCGGTAACCAACATACTCTCCCAAGGCCATCCTCAGCTCTCAGCCACAGCCAACAGTCATCTGTATCAATCAGTAGTGGGTCAGTTAGCTCAATCGCATCGAGCCTTGCAACAAGCGGTGCAACAGGTAAACAAACAGTAACCACACACACATACACACAGACACTCGTGCAGAACAACAGAACAGCCATGCGAACAATGAGAAATGATGACAATTGAAACAAGAAACAATTAACAAAATAACCATAAATACTCAGCCACCACCACACATACACCCACAGAACATACCTCATTCACATTAAACACACAACACATGGCACTCTTACTAATATCCAAAGCTATGGTTAGGGTGGAAGATCTCTTTTGTTTTTTTCAATATTATATTTAATAGTTTTTATACTTGACAGAAGTGGATATAATGGTATTTATAATATTTAAAATTTTTTTGAATTTTTTATTAATTAAATTAAAAGTAACTAGATTTTAATGTCTTTTAAAATCAAGAAATTAAATCAAATATTTATTTTTATAACTTTAACTTTAGTTGATACTTTAACTAATTTTTTATAAATTTTTACAATTTATTTCTTTATAAATTCAAGAGGTATTTTTTTATTTTCACCCCCACTAAACGTAACAACATACAAAGCGAAACCAAAAATCCATATAAAACACTTCACAACCATTCAAAAACATTTTCTTGCTCTTCTAACTTTTCCTGTTGACCGTTCTGCAAAAGAAAAAAGAAAAACCGATGATGATACAAATATATATGATGATATTTTCCTACTTAACTATTGAAACTAACCAAGCATTATCTGTTGTCAATTTGATTTGAGCTTCTTACAAGAATAACATATTGCCAAGCAATAACAAATAGCATAAAGTAAATCCTATAATTTGCTGTGACGTTGTAATTGTGACTTACATATATATCTTTATATATATATTAATATATACTCCGACAAGTCAGTGTGATATATAATATACCGATGGTAATAATGATGATTATTTGAGCGATGTGATAAATGTTGAACGGCGTGTTAAGCATGATTGGCCCACTACTGGTAACAAATAACATACTCGTAACGAATATTCCAACCCACCTCTCTATATCTCTCTGTATACCAACTCCAATATGTCCAATATGTATTATCCATACATGCTGAACCCGAAAAAAAAGAACACACATCATGTAAATGCTAAACCACTGCCATTGTAAATTAACTCCATCAATCATCACCATCCTTTGTGCATTCCACACCCGCTTCCAGGACTAGTGTTCAGTTCCAGTTGCTGGTTTAGTTTCCTTTTTGGAAGTTCCCTTCATGATTGAACCCCCCATTATATAAACTCGAAGCACTGCTGATGTAGAGTAGAGTACAAAGATGATGGTTTGGGGAAACACTACTTAAAGAGCATTACATTTCCTAACTGCCTTCAGTTGAAACTCATTGAGATCACTTGGGTTTTCCTTTTGTTCGGGGATAAAGTATGAAATATCCAGAGTTTATATAGCACCTTATTTATATATCATCACTATCCCTTTAATCTATATCTATATCACCTGCACAAAGTTCATGCACTCTGAGGAATTCGTTCTTAAAGGAGAGCTTGTAAAATGGGGTCACTTTTCTTTGATCCCGTTTAACCTACATTTTAGTTACAATTAATGACATTTTAACTTTAAGAGTGAATTCCTTAAGTTATTACCTCGTTTGGATGTAGAACACCTCACCTCAGATCACCGCACCTCACTGCTTTTCCCCTAATACCTTAAAACCTAGACAAAAACTATATAAACCACAAACTATATAACCCATTTCCCGATTGGTTTACGAATTGGCCGCCATCCTTAAGAGAATTTGCACCGCGCACGTACTGAAATTGTCTTTTCTCGCTATGAAATCTTAATGTGTACGTTGAATGTGTCGTCTCACACTTACACACCCACACACCCACGAAGAACACCCATTAACACACTAACACACCAAAAAAAACCTAGTCGAAATTTTAATAAAAATTCTCCCTGCACTGTTACCCAAGACTCAGCACGTATTGCGCCGCCCCCAAGTATCCATGTCCCCATATTCCATGCCTTTAGCTATCCAAAGACCAATCGCAGATTAACCAACTCGGCGGGTTTGCCCTGCTCCCTTCTCTCTCTTTCTCTTTCCGCTTCTGTAATCTCTTGCAGCCCTATCAATTGGGGGCCTCAGTGGGCTCAGCAATTCCCGACCAATCGCCACTGCCACTTCCAGGCACACCCTCCCCCGGCAGTAGTTCGGCCTCGACGGGCTCCGGCTCGGGCTCCGGCTCCGGATCGGGTAAAAGTAAGTCTGGGTAATAAGAGCTACCAGAGATTACCTGGCTAATGCCCTTGTAATCCTCTCTCTAGGCACGGATACCATCAAGCGCGGTGCCTCGCCCGTTTCCGTGAAGCAAGTCAAGATCATCGACCAGCCCTCCAGCCCCTATTCCATTGTGCAAAAGAAGCCGCCGCTGCAGAAGGATGCGCCCATTGAGATCACCACGCCCACTACCCAAGCAGAGGCAACAGCCTCGGGAGGCAGCAATGGCGGCGGAGCAACGGCACGCAAATCCAATGTGGACTTTTACGAACCGCACAAATCGCTGTCCAAGAGCCTGGTGAACGAGGAATCCAGCTACAGCTCCAAGTACTCCTCCGGCTTGGATGCGGCCAAGAAGAGCAGCAGCTACGGAAATGGAAATGGCAGCAGCAGTTACACGCCCAGCAAATCCAATGCCGGAAGCAGCCTCTCCACCGGCGATGACTACAAGGCCATGAAAAACAAGTCGAGCGCCACCTCCAGCTCCAGTTCGTCGCAGGCCACGGTGCTGAGTGCTGGGTCCACGGCCACGTCGGCTCCGACCACCTCTTCCGATGACTCGGATGATCTGGTCTCCTACAAGTCGTCGGCCTCGACGAACGCTCTGTTGGCCCAGTCGCAGGCCATGACCACCAGCCAGCTGATGTCCAAGTATCTGAAGCGAGAGCCGCGAGTGCAATTCACGCCGATCAAGTCGCCGGACTCACCATCGCCGCCAGGCGGAGGCGACGGGTTGCCCAAGGGCACCTACCAGCTGGTGGCGCCCAGTGCCAAGCCAGGAGCCACAACTGGAGCCATAAGCAAGTACACCACAAGCTCGGCGGATTCGAGTGCGAGTACAAACAGCCAGAAGCTGGCATCGCCATCGCGAGTCACCACCAGCAAGGTGGCCAGCAGCACCGCCTCCTCCTCGCTGGTGTCCACGGGCCGGCGACTGTTTGACAGTTTGGCCTCGTCCTCGTCCTCGGAAACGGAGACCAAGACCTACATAGGGGCCAGCAGTAGCAGCACAACCTACAACAACGACACCAGGCACTCGGGCAGCAGTAGCAGTAAGTCGGGAATGGGTGGGGGTTCGGGAACGGGATCGGGTTCGGGATCGGTAGCAGGCTCCGAGCACAGGAGCTATGGCAGCACGCTCTTTGGCAGCAGCGGCCTAGGCAATGGCAATGGCAGCAGCCACAATCATTCGGGTAGCAATCCCAGTCCCTTCACCACCACCAATGGCAATGGTAACCACAATACCATGCATCTGTATGGAACCCTGCCCAAGAATGGCTCGACCTCGACGGGGGCAGCTCTGTTTGGCAGCTCCTCGGCGAGCAGCTCCTCCTACCACTCCAGCTCCGGGGCGGGCACTGCCAGCAGCAGTGGGGTAAGCTCCATGACGGGCTCCACGAACAGCTATGACTTTTACACGAGCAGCACTAGCTCCTCGAGCAGCTCGCGTCCCTTTGCCAATGGGGGCAACAACTACCATACTTTGGGAACTTATAGGGCCCAGTATGCGGCCACGAATCCCTTCCTCGATGCCTTCGATGAGAAGCCGTCGGAGAAGAATGGCGGAGGTGGCAGCGGTAGTAGTAACCAGGATAAGCTAGGAGCCGACAAGGGGAATCATCACAGGACGACTGTGATGGCGGCATTCCAGTCCTCGGGTGACTCGAAGAACGGTAGCGATGAGTACGATGATCTCAAGTAAGGAAGCACCAGTCGATGTGGTTAGGAAAAAAGGGAAAATAAACTAAAAGCTACGCTTATGCGCGAGATTTAAAAGAGAGAGTTTTTTATTTAAATGATAATTTCAGAGTAGGATTTAGTCTTTCTAAAATTGAGTTTTATTTAGTAAACAATTTTCCAGATTTTTGTTGATCCTTAAGCTTAATTGTGTAAATAGCGTTAACTAGGAACTTGATTTTAAGAAGTGCATAAGCGTAGTCCCAAAAAACGAAAGAAAAAGTACATAAATGAATGCCATACTATGCTGAACGCCGTGTTCTTTTGAAGTATTTACAGTTTACAAATTTACAAGATACAAAAAAGATACAAAAAAGATACGAAAAAGAAGCAAATAAACGAATATAAAACCGTTAACGAATCCACAACCATAAATAAACCAAGCGAAATACCAAGTAATATGTGTGTTTAATGGAAGCTTAGCGCCTTGGCAGCTTGAAAACTTCCTAAAATAAAAAATTAACAACGCATTCAGCTAACATAAATCCGAATTCAATAACATTTACGAAACAGTATTTTTGAATGAACTAAGTATGTATGAAATAAATGATAACAAGTAATTTAACATTTAACAAAAAGGTTGAACGAGCATTTAATTTTTACAGAACAGAAACAGAGACAAAGCAAAGCCACACCACAGACAATTTCTATAAATATACATACTAAACTTACTATATATAACATATATGCCTCTAATACGCTGATGACATATTTTTGCATATTTCCCTAGAAAGCTGTACATACATACCCCCCACTTACACACACTCCACGTCCTTCTAGCCGTAATCTCTAACCACAGCCCCGAGCTACCGTGTGCTATGTGTGTTTCAATGTGACCAACTCTCTCTATCTATATACTATATATATATATGGCAACCTACCTATCTGAATCTAAATCTAAATCGAAATCGAACTATTGGACGACTTTTTGAGCAATATATACTTGCCTAAACAACAGTTTCTCTATGCCTCTTATACACAGACTTATATACAGGGGCCTAGGCCCACACACACACACACCACACACGGATACATACAAATACATGAATTTATTGACGAATCGATGTGCTTAGTTTTTGTATGAAACAAAGTCTGATATACACACTAATATACAATACAGTACAGTATAATATTTATAACCATTTAAACATAATTATAGAAAACAATGAAGAAAAAAAAAACAAACAAAAAACAGACAAAAAAATGAAATAAAATACAAAAAAGTAAAGCTAAAAAATATATATACCATAAAAAAAATAACAAAAAATTAAACACGCTTTGCGATTAAGACGGATTTTACTGCAATTATGATTCCCAAAGCTTTTTATAACGTATTGGCCAAGTACTGTGCTTAATCCCCAAACAAGAAATCGTATAACAACCTACATACCAAACATATTTATAACAAAGTCAGAAACATCCGCATTAAAAATATACCCCCCATTAAAAAATGCTATGAAACTGTAAATACCCAAAAGGAAATCAATGTACTACTACAACGTTTGTGCTTTAGCTAGAGTATTCAGTCTGGTCGGTCAGTTCAAGCTAGTTCTAGTCATAGCATCGCAGTTATATATATTATATAGCATAGCGTTAATCTATTATTTAATTAGGCCAGCCAGGGAGCATAGTAAGCAATAATAAATCCACAGAATAAAAAGGAAATAGGGAAAAGGTAGAGAAAATACAACCACTTCCTCCTTGACAAGAAATTACAGTTCAAGTTCATATTCAAATTTCTCATCAATTAACTCAAAATGATATAGCCAAGATTGTGCATTATTTGATTTTAATAATTAAATACAGAGTAATCAATCGAGGGAGTGTTTTTAAATAGCAAATTATTCGGTTAATTGTTGTCAGATTTATTTTATACGAACGAAGGAACGGAGAGTGTTAAACATGATTCTCAAAAACCAAAAGAAAACCAAAGAGTTATAAACCATACATACATCTAGTTGAGGCAAATTGATTTTTATATAGTGAATTGTTAATTATTGCATATAGCGAGTAGAGTTTTAAATAAAACAAATGAGGCGAGATGCAGGAAAAGTGTTCAGTTGTAGCTGCCCCAAGAACCTGGTTATTGATTTTAGGATTTTAATGTCGTTTAACACATACCAAAGAAACGTCAATGTTACTACAGCTGTCGCCTTCGTTTTAAACACTAGTCTTAACCCATAATCGGAGAAACAATACCCCAAAAGAGAGATTATCCCTAGATAACCCTCGATTCCCCTTGATTCCCTCTTTGTTCACCCCAAAAAGCTTTAATCGTTGAACGACCCCGACCCGAAGGTTACAAATTCGAGACATATTCTACAAATACCAGATACTAACTAGTAGGAGCGAGTACTATAGAGTCGGACAGACAGCACTTTGATTGATTTGCGAGTTGTTGTGGCTTCATAGTCGTAGTTAGCTTAGCCCTAAGATGTGGATAATGGTGGCAGACTGGGAATAATACGATCTGAAGCTGGTCAGTTGGTGGTGGTGGTGGAGGACAGATAGAACTTTTTGGGGAAAACGCTGAAGCTATATATGCCTGGCTTTTGCCGCTTAAAGGGAGTGCTGCGCTTGTTTCTGGGCCCCGATCCTGTTCGATGATATGTATTTGTACTTGTACTTTAGCAACCTTAAGCAGCATACACTATGGAATATATATCACTGTGTCATATCGTACATTTAAAAGCAAGTAAAAGCTAACAAATTGGATGGAGGAATGAGGGGTAAGGTAAATTGTTAACGCAAAGTATTCACACACGTATATAGAGAAAGTATGTATACAGAACCTAAATTAAAATGAATAGCGGCCGAGCAGCAACTACATAATACATAATACATAGTTAAATACTAAACTAAACACGATTGATTGGCAGACAAGGCTACCAACAAGTACTACAAATTGTATATGCATTTAATTTAGAGTATAACTAACATACTACTAACTAAACACACACCAAATAACTGATAACGAAACCGAAACCAAACTGTTGGGCGAATGGCAAATATGAATTGATAATTGAAATCGAACTAATTTACCGAAATGCATTGCACAATATCGAACACTTATAAAAATTAGCGGCAGTAACTAAGGCTATACATACAGCAAGTAATACGCATACGAATAGAATCGAATACAGGTTCGGCCTCCACTTAAGTTCACGACTCGAATCGATCTCGGAGAAGGCAGTTTGAATGGGAGAGAGAGCTCAGCTACGATCTGGATCCGGTTAAGTTGGATAGTGCATATGCCTAAGTATATAAATATATATATATATAGTGAATGTGTGAATTTATGTATGTATTAAATGTGCCTAAACTTTCATTTACTTTTCCACAAAGAAGATCCCTCCTTCGTTTGTTCGTTTCCCCCCTAAACCACCCCCACCTTTGAGAACGCTTTGACCGGGGATTTTTCCATTTTTCGATTTATCGATTTTTCGAGCGGGGCAAAGATTTCTTCTGTCGAACTTAACAAGTAAATGGAGACCAAATGCTCAGGGCTTTAGCGAGTTATAACATAGTAGGCGTAATATACAAAACAACAAAAAGAAAAACTTACAAACTAAGTGTAACCACACACATCACGAGCATGCTCCATCAAACGTTAGGCAAAATGCGTTTTTTCTTTTGCTAAGTTTAAACTGAAACCTATAACATCAACAACAAGAACAACAACAACAGCAGCAGCAGCCACAACAACAAGAACAATCCAGCAAACAAATTTACAAAAATCCAAGCAATCAATTTGTTGAAAAGACTGAAAACAAAAAAATAAAACAAAAAAAGAACGAAGAATACCAACAAGCAACTCTCTACCGAGAGAGATAGAGAGAATTTGCGTAGAGAATCGAGAATCAGAGAAACCCAGAAAAAAATGCGAATATTTTGCAGAAGATCCCCAAGTCATGGAAAGTCTCAGAGTTTCATTTTAGGTTCAGAGCCTTTTGTTAAACGAGAACTTCTTCATTTGAGAAACCCTTTTCTAGCGCGTCATTGAACTTTAACGAGGTGTAAACATAAAAAACGGAAAAACCTAAAGTAATAGTGAAATATTAGCGGAAATAATACAAATATTACCACCAGCATTTTGCTACCTACTTAATATGCAAGTTTAATAATTAAATGCAATAAGAAATAGTCTAACAAATAGTTCAAAAACCTATCGAAGGGCAGGCGGAAGGAACACAGGCGAGGGCGAGCGTAAACAATACCCTAAAGAATACAATCTAATGGCAAAATTAATTCCGATCGTACTTTGAAATAATTTTCTAAAACCCACCATATATAAAAAAGAGAACAAATTAAACTTAACGTAAATCTAGATCTTTCCGTTTGCTACCATGATAAAAAAAAACTAGCGCCTTCTTCGTTTGGTCCTCTCCTAATAACTAAATGCTTAGAAAACCCAAGAACAATTAATGGTATAATAAACATATGTATATATCTCTATATACGTATTGCGATTCTCAGTACTTATATAAGCAGACAGCTATCAGACAAAGCGAAGCCACAACGGAAGCGAAAGCGGAAGCGGAAGCGGAAGAACCGAACCCAACCAACTGACACGAACGAGCATTTCGAGGAGACGACAACACATTAGCGAGGATTCGTTAGAACGGATAATACTCTGATTTACCACTGCCACAAAGAAACAAACAAAACAAACAAGTAAAAAGTAACAAGTAAATTGTAACGTTAATATAGACATTAAGCCCCAACCGGGCGCTACATTACACATATACTTTGCATATAGCGATAAAAATGATATATATTGACAAGTGACTAATTTGACACAAGGACACAAGGCGGAAATCCAATTGCAATTACTTATATACATAGTGTGCGCCGTGCATCGTGTGATTGCCCAGCGAGCGCGCAAGTAAACTTAACATTATTATTTTATCCGAACAAAATAACAATAATAATTATCTCATAATTCTGACAAGCAAAAAACCAATTACAAAAAAACTAAACCCCCAATCGTTCTTTGCGTGAGAATAAAGCGATGTTACATTATTTAATGAAAATATATATACATATAAATAAAATATCTGTTCATTGGTCTTTTATTGATCTGCGGGGGCTTCGAGACCTAGATGATCGAGGTAAGTATACCAATGCCTGATCCTAGCTAGATGAGAAAAGGGGGGTTGAAGTTTCCGATTTGGCCCAATACCTTATTTGAATAGAGCAGTTTTAATTCATTTTATAGGGCCTGGTCCTCTTCTGCTCCTCCTCGTCCTGATCCTCCTTGCCAACGCTCTCTGTCTCGCCATCGGCATTCGCTTTCAGTTCCTGGCAGCTTGCGGCAATAAAATTAAAAACAAGAAAGAAAGCTAACTTTGGCCAGTCAAAGTTTGTATACCCTTGCAGGTAACAATTAAAATATATCATAGCTAAGCCAAAAATGCATTAATTTCCATTCGGAAAGCAGTTTTGTGTTAGTTTTTCTTAATTTAAGAAAACTGCATACCAAATTTAAAATTTTAAGAAATCAAAATTTTTGGCCATTTTTGCTCGTTTTAATGATGTAACCCCTTATCAAATTTCGCAAAAATGGCCAAAAAATCGATTTCTTCCGGACATGTCTAGAAAGATTCCCCTGTTGATGCTGATCAAGAATATATATGGTTTATGGGGTCGGAAATGATTCCTTGACTTGGAAAAATATTATTTTGTATTATAAAATCTGATTTTTTATATTAAAAAACTTCTTAATTTTTTTTTATTTAAAAATATCATAACTCGGCCAAAAGAGCATTAATTTTAAATCGGAAAACTGTTCTGTGCAAGATTTTATACAGTTAATAAATCTGCATACTTCATTTAAAAATTTTGAAAATTCAATTTTTTATCAAAATCAAACATTTTAATGATGTAACCCCTTATGAAATCAAGAATATATATACTTTATAGGGTCGGAAACGTCTCCTTCACTGCGTTGCAAACTTTTGACTGAAATTATAATACCCTGCAAGGGTATAAAAAGGGTGCTGTTTATTTTGATAATTTTTGTGAACAAAACAAATGTTCAAAAATTCATAACTCGGCCAAAAATTCATGAAATTCCATGCTGAATGCTGTTCCGAATTGGCATTTCTGCGCTTAACAAAACTGCTTACTCAGTTTTTCTTAAAAACTTATCTATAATTTAATTTAATTTTACATAGCTTTATTTCATATATTTACAGCACTCCAATAGCGAAAACGAGAGCGTGCTCAGGGATCTGGGAAGCACAAGTTCATCAAGTTCATTGTAATTGTTGATTGATGATCACCTGATCGGCAGAGGTGAAGCTGGAGGAGCGAGCAGCTGGGATGACAGATCTCAACCCGATGGCAGTGGAGGACGGTGATCGGATCTTGGCTCCGGGCTAGTTAAAACCCTGCAGCAGGCGTAAATAATTAAAATATTTATAAATGCAATTTAAATATGTAAATGTAATTGATGGAACACACAAATATGAATCAATAAAAGATGGTGAAATCAATGTGCAATTTTTTTGTGAAGGCGGCATGTATTTGGGATCGTTTGGGGAATTTTTAAATTTGTTTTCTGAATTTTAAACATTTTTTTCGGATGTTTTACAAATTTTCTAAATTTTTAAAAAATTGTTCTAAATTTTTAAAATTTTTCTGAATTTTAAAATTTTTTTCTGAATTTAACATTTTTTAGATTTTTTATATTTATTTAAGCATTTTTTTAGAATTAAACAAATTTTTTTTAATATTTTAACTGCCAAATTTGAATTTGAATTTAACTGCCAAATTTGAATTTAACTGCCAAATTTGAATTTGAATTTAACGACGATCAGTTTCAGTATGCCCAGGTGCAGTTGTAAAATAACACCTAAATTTGGATTCAAAAGGTTTGAGTCTCCGCTAACTTGCGCCGGCTCCTAAATGGTTTGGAACTTGGACATTTTATAACAGTTTATACCAGTTTTCAGCTGCTTGCTGCTGATTTCTGTTCGCCTGTTACCCCAATTTGGGAAACGGGCAATTTGCTTGGAAATGTTCGGAAATTTGGATGGGCTGCTGTAGGGATGTTGTTGTAAAAAGGTTGTTGTTGCCATCAAGCTGTTGTTGTCGGCAACAAATAGGTATAAATGCATAAAATGAAATATAACAGTTTATACCAATTATTATTTTTGCCCAAATGTTTTTATAACAGTTTATACCAGTTTTCAGTTGCTTGCTGCTGGTTTCTGTTCGCCTGTTACCCCAGTTTGGAAAGCGGCCAAATCGAATGAAAAGTTTTGCTCACTTGTATCAGTGATGCTCATCTGCATCAGTGATGCTCATCCGCATCAGTGATGCTCCTCTGCATCAGTGATGCTCATCTGCATCAGTGATGCTCATCTGCATCAGTGATGCTCATCTGCATCAGTGATGCTCATCTGCATCAGTGATGCTCTATTGGGACAAAATGCATCTCTCTAACTGCCAGTGATGCTCATCTAGCTATCCTGCATTATTGGGACAAAATGGAATCTCACTAACTGCCAGTGATGCTCATCTAGCTATTTTGCATTATTGGGACAAAATGGCATCTCACTAACTACCAGTGTTGCTCATCTAGCTATTTTGCATTATTGGGACAAAATGGAATCTCACTAACTGCCAGTGATGCTCATCTAGCTATTTTGCATTATTGGGACAAAATGGCATCTCATTAACTACCAGTGATGCTCATCTAGCTATTTTGCATTATTGGGACAAAATGGAATCTCTCTAACTGCCAGTGATGCTCATCTAGCTATTTTGCATTATTGGGACAAAATGGAATCTCACTAACTGCCAGTCATGCTCATCTAGCTATTTTGCATTATTGGGACAAAATGGAATCTCACTAACTGCCAGTGATGCTCATCTAGCTATTTTGCATTATTGGGACAAAATGGAATCTCACTAACTGCCAGTGATGCTCATCTAGCTATTTTGCATTATTGGGACAAAATGGAATCTCTTTAACTGCCAGTGATGCACATCTAGCTATTTTGCATTATTGGGACAAAATGGAATCTCACTAACTGCCAGTGATGCTCATCTAGCTATTTTGCATTATTGGGACAAAATGGCATCTCACTAACTACCAGTGATGCTCATCTAGCTATTTTGCATTATTGGGACAAAATGGCATCTCACTAACTACCAGTGATGCTCATCTAGCTATTTTGCATTATTGGGACAAAATGGAATCTCTTTAACTGCCAGTGATGCACATCTAGCTATTTTGCATTATTGGGACAAAATGGAATCTCACTAACTGCCAGTGATGCTCATTTAGCTATTTTGCATTATTGGGACAAAATGGAATCTCTCTAACTGCCAGTGATGCTCATCTAGCTATTTTGCATTATTGGGACAAAATGGCATCTCACTAACTACCAGTGATGCTCATCTAGCTATTTTGCATTATTGGGACAAAATGGAATCTCTCTAACTGCCAGTAATGCTCATCTAGCTGTTTTGCATTATTGGGACAAAATTGCATCTTACTAACTGCCAGTGAGCTCATCTAGCTATTTTGAATTTTTTGCATTTATTTCTCACTAACTGCCAGTGATGCTCATCTAGCAATTTTGCAATATTTGATGTTTGCCCTTCTATTGAGCCTGTTTAAATTATCCCACCCAAAAAATAACCGCATCCTCCTCATAAGTCAAAAATAACAAATTTCTAAAGGTTTTTTATTTACTTCAGCTTTAAATAAATAAAAGAAACAGAATGTCGGAGGTCATTCCCAGTGGTTTCGGCTTGGTCCTCTTCTGCTCCTCCTCGTCCTGATCCTCCTTGCCAACGCTCTCGTCTCGCCATCGGCATCCGCTTTCAGTTCCTGGCAGCTTGCTGCAATTAAATTAAAAACAAGAAAGAAAGCTAACTTTGGCCAGCCAAAGTTTGTATACCCTTGCAGGTAACAATTAAAAGATATCATAGCTAAGCCAAAAATGCATTAATTTCGATTCGGAAAGCAGTTTTGTGTTAGTTTTTATTAATTTAAAAAAACTGCATACCAAATTTAAAATTTTAAGAAATCCAAAAAATCGATTTCTTCCGGACATGTCTAGAAAGATTCGCATGTTAATGCTGATCAAGAATATATGTGGTTTATGGGGTCGGAAATGATTCCTTGACTTAGAAAAATATTATTTTGTATTGTAAAATCGGATTTTTTATATTAAGAGCAAAAGAGCATTAATTTCAAATCGGAAAACTGTTCTGTGCAAGATTTTATACAGTTAATAAATCTGCATACTTCATTTAAAAATTTTGAAAATTCAATTTTTTATCAAAATCAAACATTTTAATGATGTAACCCCTTATACAATTTTGCAAAAAGGGCCAAAAAATCGATTTCTTCCTGGCATATCTAGAAAGATTCCCCTGTTGATGCTGATCAAGAATATATATACTTTATAGGGTCGGAAACGTCTCCTTCACTGCGTTGCAAACTTCTGACTGAAATTATAATACCCTGGCAAGGGTATAAAAAGGGTGCTGTTTATTTTGATAATTTTTGTGAACAAAATTAATGTTGAAAAATTCATAACTCAGTCTACAATGCATGAAATTCTTACCTTTAGTTTGTGGTTCGCCTCCTTGCTAAAGATGCAGCCAGGTAATGAACCTTTCTACTGGCCAACTGCTATAAAGTGGAGCTGCTATAAATCCGAGATGGGAACAGTTCAGGCACAAGGGGCTTCTCTTCCCACCCATGTTACAGATAGAAAATGAAACAAAACTTCCATTTTAATTTCTTGTATTTCTTTAAAAATAAGCTCATAAGTAAAGTACAATAATTGTGAACATGAAAATGTAAAACTTAGGAGATAAAATACAATAAAAAGTAAGGAAACTAAGGAAACATAGTAATTGTGAGTGAGAAGTGAGCTGTCAAGTCGCACTCTCTCTCTGGTTTTTATCTAAAAAATACAGTAAATATAATTATAATGCTTAAAAACTTAACAATAACTAATTGTAGGGCTTCCGTAAGAAATATCAAAGGGAAAACACACTCGTTTAATGATTTGAATCATTTGTATTTTATCTTTATTTCTCAAATATTTTCAATAATAATTAATATTATAATAATTAATTAATTAATGCTTGTAACATAACAAATATTCATCTCATATCAATGCAATCTCAATGCTGCGCCCTCTCAATTGAATATTTTCGATGCCAACGCAACGTCTCCACATCCACTCTTAGTTACTGCCTCGTCGTCGTCGCGTCCCCAGTTATTAATCTTTTAGTTCTAAGTATCTTCAGCTCAGCAAGCACACTCTGCTCGTAATTCGTACATACAATACACTTCTTTTCATTTAGATTCCGTTTCGCATTTTACTTTGTGCCAAGTCGTCTCGTCGTCAAGTCAAATTCGATTGCAATATGAAAATGTATCATTAGGTTTTTGTTAAAAATTAATTAAGAGTCGCGTAGCTGCTGCTTTCGGATGTTGTTAATTCATTTTGTTTTTGACGTTGACGCTGTTTCATGTTCGCAATACATTTAATTATATATATCAATACATTTTGTTTTCATTTCATTTCGATTTCGTTAGTTTTTGTTTTGTTTTTCCATTTTATATACAATACACATAAGAGATTTGTAGTAAAATTTGGTGAGAAAAATCTTGCATTACATAAACACATCGCCATTTCATTTCGCTTTAGTTTAGTTTTTAGGTTTTTTGTTGTTTGTTTAAGTTTTGCGTTTAGAGCGTAAAATGATTATTTGTTGTATTACCTTTAAGTTGTACAATTAGAGAGCACAAAAGTAGCAAAGTGTCTTGCCTGGTGTATACTAAAAATTTGATTCAAGAAATGTCTTCCAAGTTTGATTGTTTCGCGTGTCTATATATTCGCAGTTGGGCTAGTTAAGCAGTTAAGAGTCAAGATTCAAGATTCGAAGGGTCAGAGATTGCTAAGTTCGCTCTCAGTTGCAACGATCCACAGGGGGGGAGGGTGATTAGTGATTAGTGATTAGACCGACATTACATATATATATATCTCCTGAAGATTGGGTACCAATTTAGAAAACAAATGTGTGACTGACCGCTAGCCATGCTCGTTTTGTCTCACCTTTAGTCGTACGTACCATCGTAAGGTTTTAATTGTTTAATATTTAAAACTTGGACCCTATTTAAATTTTGCAATAATGCCTGACCTATGATAAAACCGCGCACCAGATATATATATATATATATATATTCACAAGTGTGTGTTAAGACAGACCAAGGAAATCGAAAACACGATAAAAAGCAGGCGAGTGTAAAGGAAACTGACGATCGAATTCAAATTGAAATTGCAAATTGTTTACGCTTTATGTGTATTCCGTATTAAATTCACTGCTGCAAGTTGTCACCTGTTTAGTTATGTATTATTAATTGATTTTTACTAAAAAGTAGGAACTTCTGCCTGTTTTTAACTCTTTTTTTGTTTTGTTTTGTGTGTACTCGGTGTTTGTGTGTCTTGGAAACGCAATTCGAATGTCAAACACATACAGATTTTGCTAACTATAAGTACATGTTTATGTTTATTGTATATTAGGTTGTATACACGTTTGTCTAATTGTACAAAAACACAAATAAACAAAACCATAACAACGTAACAACTGTTTCTTTTTGATTTGCGCTAAAAAACCACACAAGTAAAAAAATTCCGCTACTAAGGATACATTTCACTGAAAATTCACAAAAAACTATTAAAAACTGTACAAATTATTAATATCTCAACTTGGTTATGTCTTCTCGCCAAAGCATTGTCATTGCCGCCAAAAACTTTGAACAAATTCCCTATATATGCTTTCTGCGGTTCGTCTTCCCTTTCTCCCTAAATACTCTTTATTTTTATTTTTATCCTTGACTTTTGCCAAAAAAACTAACAATTTGTATCATGCAATATACTAATCTTCTGCTTAATGCCAACTTCTTGTGTTGTTTTTTTCTCTAATAACAACCCGGGGTGTTGTTGTGTGGGGTGTGTGTATTCTGAAACTGAAGATTCTGGATGGATGGATGGTTGGTTGGGTGTTTTGGAAAAATTAACTACACATTTATATGTCAAACAATGCTGATATGTTTCTGTTCATGTTGTATATGTTTTTGCGCCTTCTGGTTGTTTCGTAAAACAAAACTGTTGCTGTTTCGGTTTTGGATTCTCTACGTTTTACTTTGATTTTCTGTTGTTTGATTGTAGTTTGTGTTTAGTTTCAACTCTCTGGCTGCTGCTGCTGCTGCTGCAATCGCTATTTCGATACATTAATATATAGTTATAGCTACAATTACATGTACACATATATCATATATCTGGTTTCCTTCTAACTGTAAAAGTAGCACATAAGTATGCATGCATGCGTTGCCTCACAACACTGGAACATGTGCCTCTCGCCTCTGTATATATATAAATTTTATATATATATATATATATATATATATGTTGTAATTCACGATTAGTCTTCAATTTAATGTTTATGTTTTGGTAAAATCTCTCTTCAGCGATTTGCAACTTTAAACTGTTGGCTGTTGTTCTGATGCAACTCCGTATTCTTTGCTGGTAAATTAATTATTTGTGTGATTCTCTCTACTTGGTAAAGTAATACTTTTTTTTTTGTTTAGTGTACTCCATCTGCTTATTTGTTTGTTGTAGTTTTTCGTAATTAGTTCTATTAATTCGCTTGCTGCTCTCGGTGTCTCTTGTTCACTATCTCAACATTAACACGCAGTGGGTCGCCATTTTGTGTCTATATTATATCGTTGGGCTAAATATTTGATTACTCTTTGAACGCTGCATGCCAAAGGATCTAGATCCTGCTCCTGATCCCTCCATAACCTTTCCCGTTTTGTAGTTGAAGTTCAAGTCTGAGGGGGATGTGCACTTGTATAATTCGTGGCTCTGCTTCGGTTTGTTGTAGAGTTTTTAAGTTCGTTTAAATACTTTTATGAAATTTTGATTTGTCAAGAGTTCTCGTTTGAAATTCTAGCAGTCGTGGGTTCTGATATATGTAGATATCATATCATATCGCTTTACCTGGCTTCGATGCGCTAACAAAACGTGTATATAGTGTGTATAATATGTATATAAGGAGTAGACATAGACATAGAGCATATGTAAGTGTGATAAATATAGGTTGTAAGGTTAAGGTTAAGGTTAAGTTTAGAGTAGCTAGTTTTTGCATTATGTGTGTATATGAAACGCTAGAGTTGGCTCAAAAACGTTATTTTTTTTTGGTAAGCTTTCTGTGTTGCATGTGGAAAAATGTAGGTAGAGAGGCATTGTCAACTGAGCTCATTCTGGTACTCCTTACTCCTTTTCATTATCCTGTTTGCATTTTCTTCCGTTTTAGCTTCCGTTTTACATTCTTCTTCTTGGATTTTGCCACTTTTTTTTGATAACTGTAAATATAGTACTTTAATAAATTTTACATTTTACAATATTTTACTGTTGCTTTTCGTACACGTTTTTTTCTGGTTTTCTTGTTTAAATATATTCATTCATTTAATTGTTACCGTCTTCGTCGCTTTTTCTTTTGTTTTTTGTGATTTGTTTCCTTTGTTTTGTTTTTAATTTTAAATTACGATCACTGCTACTCATGCTTACTAACTAAATCCATATCCTTGTAAGTTACAATTAGTTTTAGATCTTTTTTTAACCCTTTTCTTTGTTCTTTTGCGCCAACGTATAAATAATTTCACTTTCTAAATATATATAAACTTTCATATATATATGTGTGTATCTGTGGGTGTGTGTGTATCCTGTGTGTGTGGGTTGTCTGTTGTTGTTGTTGTGGGGAGTCCTTGTAAAATTATCAAAAAATCATTCAGTTTTGTTTTGCTAAAACACGTATATGTCTTTCGTTACCAGTATATGCCTATGATTAAATATAATTTACCTTTCTTTTGATTTTGTTTTTTTAGTTTAGTTTTTTTTTTGAGATTATACTTTCTTTTTTGTAGCTTAAAATTTGTTTAATTTCCTGTTTCATGGTTTGTTGTAGTTCAACATACACGCCTAATCGCTAATGTCTAACGTTTTGATCGTTTTTGTGTATAATTTGCGCTAGCTTAACAACATTTACATATTACATACACACACATAGGGTTTTACGTACGCGTTACGTGGTTTTAACTGTCAGTTAAAATTATTATTCCGTGTGTCTGTCTGTGTGTGTGTGTGTGCCATAAGGATATATCTTCGACTGGGTTTTGGGTTTTGGATTTTAGATTTATTTCGATTTGTAATACAATTCTTCTTAAGTTGCATTTAACATTACTTCACATCGACTTCACCCTGGCTCTAATTCAATGTGCAATTCGGGACTCTCGGTCTTTTCTAAATACTCTCTCTCTTCCGCCTTAACTTTCACTTTAAGTCTAACAAAATGAAAAACATTTACGAGCTACGTTTATGCGATTGTGTTGCATTCAATGTTGCATACATACTTTGTAAAAAAATTATAGTTAAGTTGCATTCATTTAAAATATAATAACAGCATCATGTACATAATAAAACTCTTTGCCTTAATTCATTTTTTAACATAATTTCTCTCGTTTTTTTTTGTTTTTTGCTTAGTTTGTTCTTCTTTCGTTTTGACTTTCTGTCGTTTTTTAAAACCAAAACACAGTACAGTGCACTAAAAATATCTCTAAGTTACAATCTCCTCAGCTCTTTTACTTTACTCTCTACTTTTTATAGATTTTTTTGCTTTTGTTTTTTGTTTTTTGTTTGTTTTTATGTTATGCAATGCAATATACTTATCAACTATAGTTTTAAAGTTAAGCTTAAGTTACGATGTTGCTGATTGTTTAGTGGGTTCTTGTTTTGTTTGTTGTTGTGGTTTCTCTGTTGTCTGCGTGCTTCGTAAGTTGAAATGCTATTTCCTCTTTAAATTTCAAATATTTTTTTATTAACTCTTAGTGGTTTTTAGCAATTTAGTTAGAGGATTCCTCGCCGGTCTCCCTATGATTAAAACTGGTATATAGCTCATGCATCGATTGTTGCCGCTGGGTTACTTCACTTTTTTTTAGTTGAATTGATTGGGTTTGGGCTGGGGTTTGCGCTGGTGATTCGATTCGATTCGATGGGGTTTAATTATCAGTTAAAGTGCGGATGCATCCTCCTTGTACTGCGGATTATAGATTGTATCTGTTGCTGCCAATAGACCTGTAGCGTGGTGTGGTGCATGTAGCTGCCGGTTGCACCCAGTCAGGTTCAGTGAACCTGACTACGGATCGGATTCTAGATGTTCGACTTGGAGAAGCTCACGCGCAGATGATTCGACTCGGAGAGCTGGTGATTGTGCATCTTGATCAGCGCCAGAACGGCCTCCTCCACGGATGACAGCTGCAGCAGCGCCATTTTGCGGTCCTTGCTAAAAGTTAAAGAAGAAAAATTGTTAGGAAATGTGTTTATGGAAAGATTTAGTGATAACAGAGAAAGAAAATTAAGAATTTAAACTAATATTTAATTATATTTTCCTTAAACCTTTTCATTTCTCTGCCAATTACTTACGGGAAAAATTTGAATGCTTTGACTTCGAAGCTGTTCGAGGTGAAGGCTTCTTTGATGTCATCCTCAGAGCAGGACGAGCTGTGAATGGAAATGGAGAAAGTTTTGGGTATTGGTTAGGTTTAAAATTAACAATCACCGATTTAAGGGTGTTCGTTTGAATGGTGGCCCCGCTGTGCGGCTGGTCCATTGATACCGCCTGGCAGGGGGGAGACAGGCGCTCCAAGGGGCTTTTCGACTCATAAATTCACACAGCAAACGGCAGACAGGCACCCAGGCAGGGGCTCCTCCTCCTCCCCCACTGCCTTTGTAGCAGCAACCAAACCTGGCGGGGTGCTTTGTCATATTTGGCAGACGAGAAGGAGGATGCCACGCGGGGTGTCTGCTGCTCATAGCGGTAATTGTAATTGCCTTGTCGTGCCCAAGAAGCGCCAAGGAGCAGCTGCCCATCCACCTGTTTCCACCTTTAAGCTGAAATACTTACGGAATGTTACTTAAATGCAGTGTCGCCGATGGCGGATAAATGTTCTGGTAGTTCTTGCTGCCCGGCTTCTTGAAGCGATGCAGCGGATTCTGGGAGTAGTCACGTGTGAGTCCTGCGTCCGGCTGTCCCTCCTTGGGCAGCTGCACGGCCTGGTGTTTGCTGGCCATCACACGTATCGGTTTGCCCCATAAACGTAATTTATCAAGGTGAGACATGGCTGTAAGAAACAAAAAAAGTAACATGTTAAAACGACTGCAAACTTTTGTTGTTTGTTAGATAAGTTTGTTGTTGTCCAGAGTATTTGTTGACTATAAATGTATCTGGAAAACTGCAATTTATATGTTGGGCCACAAGCGATAAAATTGTTTTTGCAAGCCCCAGGGAGGTCCTTAAATAAATATACACGCAAATAGAAAAGTTATATGGAAAATACGAATATTTTTAGCAGAGTTTATAAGACAAAATATATTTTAAAAATTCATTTAAGGCTAGAGAAAATGTTGGAAATGTATTTAATAGTATATATATATTCTAGCCCCCCCTATTTTTCCCTCAGTGCAGTTCAAAGACACCAACCGCCATCGTTGAAGTCGCACAAAGTCAGCAATAAGTGCTGGCAAATATTTACATACTGAAATGTAACTGCAACTTTATCAATGTCGTCTGCCTTTGGTGATTTATACAAGCTGAAATGCTTGTTTGGCCGTAAAAGTATTACCAAACAAAAGTTGGCCATCTTCGGGCGGTTCCTTCTTCGCTTCCCCCTCTCCTCTCAGCCTTATATTTCTCATATTCCTGGCAGTCATAACACCTGCGGCTCTCCAATGCAATGTAATGGGAATCGAATCGAATCGAATGGGAATGCAAGTGCAGTAAGTTGTACTTAAGTACAATTCAATTTCCATTTCCCATTTCGATTCAAGTTTCGATTACGTGTTTTTTTTATTTAATTTTCAGGGAGAGAGATCTCTTTTTGCCTCGTCATCCAAAGGCTTAGAGGTCCGAAAACTTTTCTCAATTCTCATGTTGTGCATTATATTAATAAATTACATTACATTTTATCATTGCTGCTGCTGCTCTTGCCAGTGTTTTATTGTAAAGCAATATGCTTACTCAGCCGTTTATTGTTTGCCTAAGGCCGCGCGCACACTACGAGCTGAAAGCGGAGCTGACGGCTGACGGCTTATCAGCTCTCTGAAACAAACACACTACTTGTATGAGAGCGCGCACACTGAGAGCGGAGCTGAAAGCTGATAAGGTCAGCTCCGCTCCGCTCTGTTTGATCAACCAAACATGTTTGATTTTGTTAGCAGCTGACGCGAGCTGATTTTTTAGACTATTCTTTAAAAAATTGCCCTAATTAGCGCTTAAGTAACAGAAATTTAAATTTCTGTCCAGTTATATACAAAAGTATGAAGAATTTTTTTAATATTTATTAAAATAAAAATATTGTCAACTTTCCGAGATACAGGGTGCCAAAGTACACTAAAAAAACGTACTTTGTCAACCATATTCTGGAGAACTGGGTGGTCCGATTTCGAAAATTTAAATGTCATGATGATCTAAATAAATATGTCATCGCATTAACAACGATATTTTAAAAATATTAAAGAATTAAAATATGTTTTTTTTTAAACGTATTGCTTGAAAAACATTTACAAATCAACATCAGCTTCAGCTCGCAATGTGCGCGGCTGCAAAAAGCTCCGATCGCTGATAAGCTTTCCGCGGATAAGCTCTCAGCCGTCAGCTCCGCTTTCAGCTCGTAGTGTGCGCGCGGCCTAATGGATTAAATGATTTTACAGAAAAAATGAAACCAAATCCGGTCACCAGGGAATATAATAAATTGTAAAATAAAAGGGAGCAGCAGTGACAAGGCCCGTTGCTCATATGGCCTAAGCATCCTTTTTTCTTACCGGTTTTTTTTTTTTGCTGTATGACAAAACACTTGTAATAAAGATTAATGGGGAGAGGCAGGAGTGCTCTGTTGCAGCTGCTACCCAAAAAGTATCTTAAACTTTTAATTACAAGGCTGAGGCTAAGGCTGATCAACAAGAAATCATTATTAACTAACAAAAACATTAAGAAAAAAACGGGGGAAACCTCAAAAAGTAAGTGAAATGACTCGGAGAGATGGAGGAGGCTTTTGAGGGTTTGCCCCCTGTTTTATGCTTGAAGTTCTGGGCTTAAGACTTTTAAGCACCATTCACTGGGGAGACGTAGACCCAGACCCCACTCAGAAAATACTCCTTCCCCCTGCTCCTTCTCTTTCTAGAGGAAGTGAGAGTAAAGGTGTGGTCCCTGGCTCAGGTGAGTGTGCCTTCAAGTTAGTTGTAACTTTCACGATTTGAACGATTAATGTCCGGCAATGCCTTGACTATGATCTACGGCCAGACACTTTATTATCTCTGGCCCCGTAAACTATGCAAAACATCCTCGACTCTCTCTGTATCCGTAATTAATTGTGGCCAAAAACGGAGTGCCGGTCGCCAAGTCATTCAAACAGTCACTTAGCATTGTCAACCCAAGAAGTCCAGTGTTTCCAGGCGAAAACTTTCACTAAACTCTATATATATATTTCCCAGCACACACCATGGCACACATGGCGTATGCGTAATCGACCATAATATATATGGCAATAGAATGCTGCCAGTGCTGTGTCTGCCTGCCGTACGTTGTATGTTTTGCCCAAGTTTGTTTGTTTTTATTGCAAATGCCTTTATGCGTACGCTTATGCAAAATATTTTGTAGTAATTTGTTCGGCAGAAAGCAGGAAATTTATTTGCCAAAACGAAAAAGAGAGGGGAAACTACACACAACACACAGCTGTGAGTGTGCCTATAAATTCCATAGTATCGGGAGGGGGTGTGCGTTGTGTTGTGTGTCTACGTTTGTGTCTGCCTCTGTCCATAGTTGGTAATAAGTTGCGCAAAAACTTAATCCCGCCCAGCATCGCACTCCTTTGCCCCCTCTATACCGATTCTGATTTGGATTCTGATTCCCCAGTTGCCACCCAACAAATGCTCCATTATAATACACACACCTCGAACTGGCCAGCAAGTAGACGCAGCTTATAAAGTACACAAGGAAATATAACATATTAAAATAGGAAAATTCTAATAGTAAAGTAAATTTGTAAAGTTTGAAATTTGGAAATCTTTTACGCCCATTTTCCATTCATTTCGAATCAAAATCTTATTTTAAAGGTAATTTTAAGAATTTTTTGCTACAATTTTATCCCCAAATTTAATTCCAGTGTATGCCTAGCATGCTTATTGTTTTTTCATTGTGTGTTTTTGTCTATTTCCCAGCTCAGCGCCCTCTGATTGCTGTCGCAGTTTGTTTGGGGCCCCCCTAAAAGTTGGTTGTCCATTCTGGCGTCCGATTCTCATTGCTTTTCCCAGGCTTTCCCCCTCGTGATATTCCGTTGACTTCACTTACAAAAAAGAAAAAAAGAAAAAAGAAAACTTTTTTGCGCCTTTACGCTGTAATTCGTATGCTGAGTGTGCAATTGTAGCCGTATTTTGTGTGTGGCCCCCGCCATAACGCACACCACCTTACGAGACACTTTCGTATGCATGGGGTGAGTTGGTGACCCTGGACAGCTGCTGTTCCTTGTCCTGCATCCCTGCCCTCTCGTGTATCCTGCCGCTTTACCACCACATCTCCTGCTTTCTGTTTCCTGCTTTCCTTGCTCCTTGTTCGGTAATCGTCTTTGTTTGTTGGCGGAGAGTTTTGGGCAAAGTAACGAATGAATTTGTTAATATTTTATGAGTGCATAAGTGCGCACTCCTGCCCCAAACGGAGCTTCCATTTCAGACTTGTTACCTGGTGTCCAGGTAGCTGGGCTACACTTGGGGAAATTGGAAGGGGGTGTACTATACTAGAAAAGGTGGCATTTCCCATAGAATTGTTTCGAGTTCTTGGGAAATTTCCTAGCTAATCCCAATTAATATTCTGGGAAACTCCAAGAAATATCTATTTTTCCAGGGATAATTATGCATTGCCGACTTTTAGGCTTTAAAATAATTGTTTCTAGGAATTTTTAGAGATTTGTGGAAATTGTTTCTTAAATTCTATGAATTTCCTGATTAAATTATTAACTGAAACTTGGAAAATAACTACATTTCCACTTGAAATCCTAGTATTTTTGTTATAGTGTAGCCTGGGCTTGGCGAACGTAGCGAAAGGCAGCGGAAGTGTTTGCCATTTGGCAGTCCTTGCGGCACATTAGTAGTCTATATGCTGCCGCATGCCCATTAATATTTTCACATGTCCCGGGGCATTTGGTTCGAATTTCCACCAGGAACCTCAGCTCCTCCCTCTTGTTTTGTTTGGGAGCGGAAGGTATGTTGTCGACTTCCTCTCTAATTTGCTTGTTTGGTCAAACAGTTGACTGGCTTTGGTTTTGTCGGTTCATTTGCGTGAAATGCTGCACAATAGTTTTATCAACTGCAGTTGGCAAACCAACGGGGTCGGTATTTTGTGGTCCACAGAACTCTGTCAATTTTTGCGGACGAATTCAATTAACACAACGCATTGCGTATACGCCACCGAAATAAGTTGACTGTCAGCGGCACACACAAAAGGGGGGGTGGAGGACTATTATCCCGAAATGGATTTCAAAATTTAGCCATGCATTTTCAAGAGCTTCTGCTGATTAGCTTGTGCTTCCATAGTTTCCCCCCTTTTGTCAACCCAATTAATTAAGTAAGAAAATCTCAAAGCGGGAATGCTTTTGAGCAGCGGTTTACAAGGTGCACCGCCACGGCACTGCAGGTTGCAATGTTTACATAATTATAATTAAAAAATTAATTGAGTACAGGCACAAAGCATATTTTGATGGCGAAAAATAAATAAATAAAAATAAAAATAAAAGGAAATTGAGGCCACAGACGGTGGACAGACGCCAGAATGTGCGGAATGGCGTATACCCTACAGACATTACTTATGTGCGCAACCCCGTGTGTGTGTGTGTGCCCTGAACCTGCACTTATTTCCTTTTTATTTAAATCAATAAACAGTTGATGGCATTCATTATGCAGTAGCTTACGCTTTTCCAGACGCGCACAATTTGCTGGCAATTTCCGCTGCGATCGACCATTGCATTTATTGAACAGATTAAATTTATTTAAACTTTATTAACAACAGAGCAGAGCGCGCAGAGCTGGGCTGTGGGAATGTGTCAGGGAATCGTGACGGAAAATATAATTGATAAATTACATGTGCGAACGATTAACGCGCTCCGATGGCGGCCCGTTGGTTCGAACAGATTTCCAGGAGCTCGGCACAATGTGCTTTCATTGGTCATAAGCAGCTAATAACTCTTTTTGGTAGCCACTTAATATTTATGGCATGTGAAATAAATGATAATTGTGCTTAAAACTCATGGCTTTTAATGGGGAGATTTTCGAAATAATATTTTATAATTAAAACAAGAGGTTTAAAGATTTTTTAATTAGCAAAGAAATATGATTTCGAAGTTGAGTACAAGGATAGTATTCATCTTTTTTTTTTAAGTATTTAAAATTATTTCAAGAAGAGAATTCCAGCCTCTTTTGTGTAAGTTGATTCCCCTTTCCCTTTTTTATATTTTTTAAAATGATACAATTGTAATTAATAACTCTATATGACAACTGTAGTTAAGAACTCTGTCAAAGATAAAGAAAACAATCGGGGGGAATTTTCGCCCGGCTGTCGTTTTCAATTAAGCGCCATCCAGCTGGGCCGCTGCACTTTGACAGCTTTTTGAGTTATTTTTCCAGCGAATTGCGTATAAAAAGGCACAAATGAAGGAAGCTCGAGCCCGCTGAGTGCTGACGCGGCTCTGACCGGTGTAAAAACACACAGAGAGAAAAGAGAAATTGGGGAAGATAGCCCCATGCCAGCTCAGATATATATACAGTATAGTTGGCGTGTTAAATGGAATAAAACCAAATCGAAATGAAAATTGAAAAAGGTGTTGCTGTCGGCTGCCTTGCTGTTTTTGTAATAAAGTGGAATTTGGCACGTCGGTTGGCTGCTCTTAACGCGACAATTTTCATTTCGCTTAATGCGTGTGCGAGGCGAGAGATCCTGGGGCGAGGTCCTTCTTGCCCTGACAATGCCAAAGTGCACACAAATAAATGCAATAAAATGATTGGCATGTCCCGTCGAGCTGCTGTTGCTGCTCTTGCTACTGCTACTGCCTTTGTTGGTCGGAAAATGGGTGGAAAAACTGGACCAGGTGTTGCGCCTCCTGGTAATAAAGCGCTTATAAAATTTCATTTATGCCACCTCCTCTCCACTGCGTTCCCATTCCCCCTTGCTACGCCTTAACAATTTTTATTATTAATACATTTTGTTTGCTGCAACGGGAACGGTTACGGTTGCCAAAGGAATGCACCGCCGCCGTTTGGAATTTCATGTTGCTGGAATTTTCATTTTAAACAAGCTGCAAATTGCAGTTGCTCATTTTTTTTGTAGTTATTGTTGTTGTTTGCTCTGTCCAGGATTCACAGACTGCGATTTTTCATTACTTTCATTTCGCAGTGGGTGTCTGTGTGTGTTTTCCACCGGTTTTCCGGGGTGAAAGTGCGTTTTGTTTGAGTTTGACTTACCCAAATAAGCTTGCTGGGGCTCCGCCATCTGTATGAGTGCCGAGTCCTTCTTGTTGTACAGGATCTTTACACGTTGCACATCGCCGTATACACCTGCGTTTTCCAAAAAGGGAGAGAGAGAAAGAAGAGGGGAAAATGGAGAACGGTTGAGGATTATGAGTATACAAGAGTTTTTGCTGCCACTGGGCTCTAGTTTCCCAGCGTTTGTTGCCAGTAAAGTTATAAAAGTTTTGGGTATTGGCTGTACGAAAGCGAGGCGAGGCCAGCAGGGACAACTAATAAGAAAATTACAAGGGAAATCCTTCAAATAAGTGCTTGAAATTGTGTCTTAATAAATTTAGAATTAAATATAATTCTTAGATTTTATTTATTACAGTTTTATTGAGTCTAGAAAGATCTATAATTTTTTAATTATTATTGTATATTATATATTAATTCAATTTCCTATACGAAGGTATTACATTTTTCAAGTTCAACCCCATCTTATTTAGCTTGACGCTACCTTAAACTTGCACCTGGACAAAGTATGGCATAAAGCTTCTTGCAGCTTCTTCCAGCTTCATCCAGCTCCTTTAGCTTCTCCCGCGATGCAGCTTGCATTTTCGGACAGCTCGAAGCGGTTTATGGAGGCCGTTGGAAAAGTTTTACACCCCACCAAAAAGCCATAACATGTACGCGAGATATATCAGCCCTCCCAGCGCCGCCACCTTCTTGGGTCCATTTTGCCCAGAGGATCCCCAGGACAGCAGCCAGGCACTCGCATTATTGCCGCGGGCCAAGCCGTTAGTATCATGTACGAGGAAACTCATAACTGGCTCAATAAGTTTCCTGCGCTATTTTTTACGAGCTTCAATTCGAACTCCGGCTAAGGATTCTTTTGCAGGAGCAGGAGGAGAAGCCACCGTCTTACCTGGGTTTTAAGGCCACGGATTTTACAGCTGTCAGACAAGGTGTGCAACTTTTTGGCCGGGCTGCCGGGCGGACGCGTTATTGAATTGTATTTTATGGCTTTACTGGCGCCCCGCAAACTATGCAATATTAAGCCAGACCAAGGACGCAAGGACTCAGCTGCAGGAGGGACTGCATTAAGTCTGGCAGATGGCTTTAAGAATTTAAGTGGACATCTCCGGCGGTCAGTGGACTCTTTTTTGCTTTGACAGCTGCCCGAAGGTCCTTGGGTGACTTGTGCAGCCAATCAGCGGCAAATTTGAAGCTGGGCGCAAATTGCCATCGAGCATAAAAAATAGTTGCCGCTCGAGTTGGTGGCCAAAGGGCAATGGCTACAACAGTCCGACTTTGGAGTCGGACCCCAAAGCAAACAATGTAAAGTGCAGTCCTCCTCTTTGCCCCAAGACAACAAATCGAATAATGCGCAAAGTAAATTTTCAACTACTTCAACACACACACACACCTTGGAGAACAAAAAGTAAAAATAGAGATGTATACACTCTAGGAAAAGTCCTTGCTAAGCTTTTAAATTCATTTACTTTGCGACATTTTCCTGAAGATCTAATTTTAAATGATTTAAATTAAATTTTAAAATTGAATTTTGAAGTATAAATGGTTATTAAATTTAATAAAAATCTATAGCAACTAGTTTTCCAATTAACCAATTTTCTACTAAACACAATCAAGATGCATTTTCTTGGTTTCTAGGTCTCTTCTCTTAGCTTTAAGTGCCTAATTTTATTTCGAAATATTCCTAAACCACTCTAAAAACCCCTCCATATTCATGGCCATACTTATTTCTTGCTGTGCACCCCAACTTAGGAAGCTGTGTGGCCATAAAAGTGAGGGCCATGCCAGCCACTCGGAGCGTAGCGAAGCGAGCGGTGCGCTAACAAGTTACAAAAGTAGCAATGGAAATGCAGGTAGTAAATAGTAGGAGAAGGATTCGGTTAGAGCAGGAGCAGGAGCAAAAGGATGGAGCACACAGTTCAACAGTTGGCAGTAAATCCATTTTATACAGACGACTGGCCACCTGACTGACTGACTCCCTCTGTTACCAGTTATCCGCCGGACGACGACGACGACGACGACTTGACTTATGCCAAAATGCCGGCCAATTTCATTTCGTTTTTCGGTTTTGGCCAGCACAAAAAATATTTCTTGGTAGCTACAATTGCAGCTGAAGCTGTGGCAGAGCCAGAACTAGAGCAGCAGACAGCCACATCTGCAGGTATTGGCAGTGGAGCGTATGGAGTGCCAGCATAACTTGAAGTTTGGCGTGCAACGGGGCGTATGAGCAATACGGTTGCCATGCAAAGTGCGCCCAACCACAGGCTTCTTCTTCAGCTTCGGCTTCAGCTTCGGTATTCCCAGACTTCTCTCCACCGACAGACTTGATAATAATTTATTATCGGAGAAGCAGTTTCCCTCTACTTTTGCCTTCTCTTTTTCTTTTTATATATATATATTTTTTTCTGGTTTAGCGACACTAACATATGCAGACATGAGCCCCGGGATTCCCCGATGGCCCATTAGTCCTGTGCTTGGGCATATTCCAGATGAAGAATTATGCGGCAGAGAGTCTGTAAAGTTTTTTTCGCCTCTTAAATTTTTCACCTGCCGCCGCCTGAATTTAGAATTTGAATCGACAGTTTCAATTCACTGCGACTTCCATTTAATCACATTCCGAACGCGCGCATTGGCGCTGTGAAAGCGATTTATGAAAAATTCATTGATATTATTTGCACATTGGATTTAATTTTTGGCGGTGTTCAGGGCGGAGAGCAGGGCACTTTATCAAATTGCATTGCTCTGCGTTCTCTGTGCTGTGGCAACATGTAGCGCATAAAATTTTATGAAATTATTTCGCACAAAGCCGGGCCCGGATCTCTGTCTCTCTCTCTAACGCTAAACGCATAAAAATTCAATTAAACACGTTTCGACAATATTTTCGGCAATGATATAAATTTTTATCACGTCATTACAATTACATAAGCGGATTACAATGGGCCCACACATATGCGTTGGGTGTGTGTTATGGGTTGTGTTTCCCAGACGATTTGCAGACTGATTAAGTTTTCTTTTATTGTTATGCAAAGGGCAACTCAATCCCAGCCTTCGATTTGGGGGAGAGAGCAGGGTTAGATTGGGGTGATTCCTGGGCCTTCGAGGACCTTATTGAGTGCCTTGACAGGCTAAGCGGCATGTGTCAAGTGTCTGGAGAGCAGGCCATGCCCCAGAAGTGGGGGGCCTTTAGGTCCTTTTCAATTGAGTCCTCTCTCGCAGGACGAACAAAGCGCTGTCAAAACTAATAAAATGTCTGACTGCCTACCGAATGAAAAGGGTTTTTTTTCCTGGCCAACTTTTCCAGGGTTTTGGCCTTTTTGTTGCCGCTGCTGCTGTTGCTGTTTTTCCAGCTAGATCAATCCCAAACGCGTTTGAAGTGCGTTCGTTGTTTGTTGTCTCCTGAGCTGAGCTTGCCACTTTTATTATTTGATATGCAAACACACACAGGCAGGCGAGGCGTTCAGGTGAGCGCAGGAGGCAGCGAACCGCATAGCGTCTCGGTCCTGATCCTAGTCGCGCCCTTTGACCCCCGACCCTTTGAAGTGCTAAATTCGCTGGCACCCAGGCAAAAGGTGGCCCCGCCTCATGTGGGAAATTGTTGTTACGTGTCCTTGCGTTTTGGCATTAACATAACAAAAGCAGCCGTTATGCCATTTGCCGGTTTGCCATTCGCTTGCCACTTCTCTGTTAGAATACACTGGGCGAAAAGCACTAGAATTTATGTATTTTATAGGGAAATTTAAGGTTATTTAAGGTTATAAAGACTAGACTGGGTAATGAATTACTTATAGATTCAATATTTTTTAAGCTACTTATTTGCTTGAAAAACTCTCAAGAGAGATGTAAACTATTTAGCTCATTTTTCCAGAGTGTAACTGTTTAGCTAGCTTCCTTCCAAGTGTCACTGGCATTGCTTCTGTCTGTCCCCTGTCTGCTTAGAGCTACTTGGAAATTCAAAAGGTTATTACATAAAATTTTAGCCTGCCATTTGGCTGATTGCCCGTCGAAAGTCGCAAGTTGCAAGCTGCTGGTTGCTAGTTGCTAGAAGAGTGTCTCTGGCCGTCAATTACACGCTGGCTGGTTGCCTTCCTTCGAGTTTATCTAAATCTATTGGCACCCCAATAATAATACGCTTAACGTTCGACTTATCGACATCTCTTCGTCGTCTGTCTGTGTGCAACAGGGCGTATGGGGTATCCGAAGAGGAGGAAGTTGAGGAGTTTCCTACTTTTACGCTTATGGACCTCTGAGTCCTTCGAAGCGTTTAATCAGCAATCTAAGCTTTATTAGCAGTGCAGGAAGGCAGTCAGGCAGGCAGTCAGGCAGGCAGTCAGGCAGGCAGTCAGGCAGCCAGGCAGTCAGCTGCCAAGCTGTAACTTTAGCTGTTGCAACACTGATCGGATTTTCCCTGGATTTTCCACAGACTGCTTCCCCTCTCTCTCTCCTGCTGCTGCTGCTGTTGCACAAATCCCCCACAAACAGAAACAATTTTTAAGCAATTAATACGTTCGGCAACAGTTTTGTTTACTTTGAGCGATAAGCCCTCTCTACCGAACTGCTGCTGACAGAATGCCGAGTGCAATTTGTAAATATAAATCAAAGGCAGCAACCGCAGGCACACAAGGGTTAAGTTCAAGCGGCTTAACCCCCTGTTGTTCCCTCAGCCAACCGCTCACCTCTCCATTTCGTTTCGTTTGTTTGGCAAAAGTTTATATTTGGGTATTTAAACTCAAATTAAATGCATTTGCATGCAAACAAAGGAGGATTCTGGCCACAAACAAACCGTTTTGTGTCACCAGAGAAAGAGGGAGAAACAAAGGAGCACACACACACAAAAAATTCACCAGAGATTGTATCTCTAGGAATAAGGAAACTGGACTCGGAGTTGTATGGCAACCAAAATCCATTATGCTGCAATTATGCGCCACACATGCTTGTTTGCCGGACAAAAACTTGCTCAATCGATGTGTTTTGGTAATTAAATCAAGTACATAATGGAGCAAGCTAAACGGAGAAATGGAGAAATGCAGCGCAAGTGAAAAGTCAACTGGGAATCCCATAAAATAATAAACTACACACAAGCAGCAAGGAGCAAGGAGCAGGATGATGTCGGGGACAGCAATTCAAACAGCAAACCCCATTAACTTTACAAAGTTAGTTAAATTCATTTGGCAAACAGACGACAGACGGAGAGACTACGACGAAAAACTAGCAAGGAGACACAATCCTAGTGCTGCTCCTCCTTCTCTAGGAGAAACCAACCAACCAACCGAGCGAGCGAGCGGCTAACCAAGCCAACGAGCTACGAAAAGTCACAAGTAAATTTTATTTCAATTGTGAGAGCCAGCAAAAACTACACAATGATCATGACTGTGTGTGCCACAAAAAGGTGCACACACTATGTGTATATATGTGTGTATTATAGAGTGAAAGAAAGCCAGAGAGAAGGGGCAAAAAACCACACAAAATGCACGGTGAGAAATGGTTAAGAAAATTCTACTTTAAATGGATATTTTTGGAAGTAGCAAAGGTGCTTTAATTGTAAAGAATTTAAGCTGACTTTACTCTTAATTTTCAATGGAGTTTAAGCTATTAAACAAGGTTTTTAAATACGCTTTTATATTTTAAATTAAAAGGTAACAACTATGATTTGTCTATATTTTTTCTTAAATTAAAAATTACTCTACAAAGATCTTTCCCGAAAATATATTGTAACTTACTTAAAATTGCTTAATTTTAATACAATTTCTTTTCAACTAATTTATCCCCCCTTCTATGCTTTATTAAGCTTCTGTAAAACCCACTTTTTCGCTCAGTGCCTACACACTTAAGCAAAGCAACAGCAACAATGGGCGACAGCAACAAGCGCAATGATAACTAAATAAATGGACATTTTTATAGCTATGCACTTCCGCACTCAATCTTTTGTGCCGCCTGCAAGCGAGTGTGTGTCCGTGTGTGTGTGTGTGGCAGGATGAGCACATGTTAAAGCATGTGTTTTGTGCATGCATTTTAGTCCTGGCAGCAAAGTCCTTAGACACTTACACCCTCACGCCTCACAATGGAAGCCCCGGCCACGAGCACACACTTAATTCATGTAATTTCACACAGACAGCAGAAGAAGCAACAGGATGTAGGTACAAGGACTGCAGCAACGAGTCCTTACAGTGCGGTCTCTCTCACTTGTTGCCAGTTGCCTCTTGCTACATGTTTTTAATATATGTACAAACATATATATGTTACATATATTCATTGTTTTACAATTTGTAAGCAGAACTTATGACAGGATAAATGGATATAACCCAGAACGGTTTCTATTTCTATTGCTATTTCTATTTCAATTTCCATTTCAAGTTGCCTGATGGAAAGCCATTAGAAAGCCATTTGCTGAAGGTTCAGGGTATGGCTTTGGCTTTGGATACAGGGAAACCATTTAAATGGATTTTATGTCCTGATCGGGAAGCTGTCCTCAGAGTTTACAGGATCGCTTTAAGCCAGAACCAGAGAGGTTTAGGTTTAGGTTGGGCGTTAGAAAACCTAGAGGTCGAAAGTTTTACAGCCATTTTATATTTCCCACATGGCGGATGCATTTTATGAGCCAACGTTTGGTTCCTGCCTGGTTTTTTGTCTTACTTTTTAAGGCTTTTTCAATATTTTAAACAGTTTGTGCCGCATTTTTGTCAGCTATTGCTTTGTTTAACCCACAGACACCCACCCCCCGAAGTGCATAAATAATTCATGGCACTTTTGCTGATTGCACGTAAATGGCGTAAATGCCAAAGCCCCGGAAGTACCAACAAACACAACAAAAGTATACAAAAAACAGAAGAGAAAAAGGATATATAGGACCCAGAGCTGGCCTCGCTCGATTCGTACAGTGTAAATTCAATGAATAATCAAGTAAACTACTTATAAATTGTTCAAGGAGTGTAAATATATATATATAAGGGACACGTTGTGACTGGGCAAGGCTAGACAGGACCTTAGAGAATATGCTTTCCACTTTTTAGACTTCAAAAAGATATAGTAAAAGAGTTTAGTAGAGAGCTCAAGGATATCTTTAGCTGGTCCTTGGTCTACCCTTGCCCCAGCGAGACAACAAACAAATAAAATTTGGGAAAAAAAAACTGGCAATTAATAGTAAGAGTAAGTAGTAATTCGGTTGTGCAGACGTACCAAAGAGGGTAAAGAGAGCATCAGGCGTGACCATCTACAGAGAAAAAGAGAAAATAGAGTTTGTCGTCAGTTAGCGAGAGTTTCGTTTCAGATGTTTTACAAATAATAAAATAAAACAAAGATTAAAACAGAGAGATTTAAATGAACAGATGATGAATCTGGCTGGGAAAGAGAGAAGGGTAAAGGTAGAGGCTGAGGCTGAGGCGGAGTTTGGTTGGGGAACAGATCCCCCCGATACACTACACATATAATATATACGAGTACAAATATAACAAGGTAATCTATTTGATGGTAAATAAAATGTAAAATCAAAGTAGCTTTGTCAGGTATTTGTTTGCTTGAAACAAAAAAATGTTAAATGATAGTTAATACTTGTAGAAAAAATGTGGACAAACACGGAATGTGAACTAATTGAAAGCCTTTGGTTAAACATGATATAGATAGATGTAAAAAATGTGTGAAAGAGACATTTTTTTTAAACTTCCATCAGTTTAATATATATTTTATTTATATAAAATTATTTTTTAGGGGCTTACAGTAGGGATTTTTTCACTGGCACATATTGTAATATTGGCCACAAAAATGAAATGATTGGAAATATATTAAAAGGATCTTTGGAAACATATTTGCCTTGGTTTATATTTAATTTTTTATGGAGAATTATACACAAAATTAAATTCTTTTAAATAAACACAAGAGTTTAAAGTCTTAAATGGTATTTAAAAAGCCCAAGAAGCTAATCCTATTTATTAGAGCTACAAATTTCATCTGCAAGGTTTACATTTCCTTTTAAATTTTAAACTCTTAAAGTGGGACACTTACCTCCTCATTTAAATTCGAGACGAGCAGAACATTCGAGTATCCGCGCATGGCGGGTGCGGCTGTCTGCAGGGCACCGCTGTTGGCCAGCGAGAAGGCGGCCAGATTGGGCAGGGCATTGCTATATCCTCCGGTTAGCGGAGTGCCCAAGCCCAGGGCGAAGGGTGGCAGGACTCCAGGGGCACCCAGGCCGTTGACTGAAATCAATCCAATTAATCAAAGTTAGTTGGATTCTTGCCAGTGCCTTGCGTTATCCTGATTAGTTGCATGCCACTTAAGCTCGTAATACGAATCGATAGCAGGTGTAAAGGCAAAAAATAGTGGAAACAAAGCATAGCTACGTATTTTTGTTGAGTGTATTAAGTGGTTAGTTTTAGTAAGCGTTTTCTGTGTGTGGTTAGCAACTTGAAGCGTAGAAAAAACATAAATGAAAAATTCGGGAAAATGTTCCGTTTGTGTTACCTATTTTATCACCTGTTAGGGAGGGCCTTTGCCGGGCGGCGATCAGTAGCAGATCGTTGGTATTCATCAGTCCGCCGGCTGTGGGCATTAGATCAACACCGGGCTCACCCGGAGGCAGCGCGGGGTTCGTAAAGTCCCGCGACTTGTCATTGTTGTACTTTACATTCAGTGCCGTCAGCTTGCTGTTGTCAATTCGCAGCGTGCAGCAGCCATTGTAAATGTTCTGGCCGTCCAGCAAGGACTTGGCATGCTGGGCCGAGTTGGCATCCGGATACTGGATGAGGGCCTAAAGAACACACAAGGAAAATCATACAAGTAACTTAGTTTAAATTCCCATAGATAATCAATATCCTTTTCCCACCTGGAATGAATTGTTCTTGGTGAAGGTGACGATCTTGAGAACCTTGCCATAACGCTGGAAGATCTGATGCAGTATATCCAGCGATACGGGATACATCAGCGACTCGACAATCACACGCAGCACGGTGTTGGGTCCTCCGGCCGAATTGGTATTATTTCCAGCCGCATTCACGGCACTGGTGTTATTCTGCAAGATGGCCACGGCACTGCTGTTGCTATCGCCGGAGCTATTGGCATTGTTGCTGGTCGCATTGGCGGCGCACAAGGGCAGCGGGGAGCCGCCCGCCGGCGACTGGATGCGGTAGTCGCTCTGGACAACCGAATTCTGTAAAAATATAAAAAAGAAGAAAAAAATTAGATGTTGAGTCAATTTACTGACGGCGGCAACGCCGGAAACTTTTATTAGTTAAAGGCGCAAACTTTTGCGCATTAATCATAGCAAAGCAAAGCCTGGCAGTGCACAAAATTTATGCAGCTGGGCAAGTTTTTTACACAAAAAGAGGACAAGAAGAGGTGCACTTAAAGGAATTTTAATATATTTTTCTAAGAAAATTATAAATATAAAATATGAAAATTAAAAAACTCAGATTTTAAGGGATTTTAAAAGAGGAAAGGCCAGCCATTTTTGAAAGTAAAAGATTTTCCAATGGAATCTTCATGTCTTTTACAATTCATTAAATTATTTAACCTTAAAAAAAACCTAATAAGTAATTTAGTTAGTCAATTAATAACTTAAAAATATAAGATTCAGTTAACCCATTCTCTCTTGATTCAATTAACATCTCCCAGAATTCTTTTCCAAGTGCAGAAATATGCTAAACATTTGCACGGCAGACAGGGAATATCCTCCTGCGTGGCCGCCGACATAAATCTCAATCAAAATCAATAATATCAAGTATCGTAATAATAAAAGGAAGCGGGAGGGAGGGAGAAGAAACCATCTCCGTTTTCCCTCGTCCTAGGAGTCCTGCCAATGACAAGGATGCCGAAGCGGATGTCAGATACGGCCACCTCCTCTTAGTGAGCAACAAAAAACTTCTTGCGTGAAATATACACGTTCTATCGGAAAACAATTTAATGACATTCGGAAGTAAATTTATTCCTATTCGTGCTGAATTTTGATTTCGAAAATCATAACGTAAACACATTCGACCGCCCATGGCCATGGGCCCACCTGCCTCCCGCAACCCCCTCGATTTTCCTCTGATTTTTTCCTACGATTTCCTTGGCATCCCCGATATCCTGTGCCTGCGCGTTCTATTTTATTTTTCGTATTTTTTTTTTCGTCTTGTGCGTTTGTCAGCGCAACAGGATGGGTGGCAAGAAAAGTTCTCGGGGAAAAATCCTCCCCAGGCGTGCTATTTGTTTCCTTTGCCTAGATAAATTCCGCTACCATTTGAAACAAAGAGCAGGTCGACGTGAGCTCCTTCGCCGGGGCTGCTGCCAAAGTTTGTAAAAATAATAAAAATTGATTAGAATTGCCAGAGAGTGCCGACGAGACGCTAGACGATGGGGCGTATGTGGGATGTGTATCCCCTACTAAGACTAGGATATATATCATGGGGGAATGGGCAGGGGGCATGGGCATGATGATGCGGCTGCTTCATCTTCGATTGCCATTCCGGCCCGAAATGCCTGTGGGATGCCATCAGTGGGTTTCTATTCCTTTTCCTTTTCGCTTTCCTTCTGCCAGCGCGTAATTTGATACTTCACTTTGCCTGATTATTATGATGACGATGACGTTGATTGTGTAAAAATTGTAATGTAATTGCTGGCAAGCGTTTTTCCTTAGCCCATCTATTACTCATGCCCTGTGTCCCTTTGGCTTGGGGATTGACTGTTGTTGTTTAAACAGTAACTAAGTTGGTTAACATTAACTGCCTGTCAAGTGGCAAATTGGCAGGCGTTTAAGCACTTTGATAATTGTGCATAACTTTGCCCTGACAACTTCAAAGAGAGAGTAACTAAGCAAAGGGAAACTAAGTAGTTACAAAGTTAAGGGAAGGGATCTTGCACTGAGAGGAAAGTGTAGGGTTTATTTAAAAATTAAACTAACAAGAAGATAAATCTAGAAAATCCCTAAGATCTCTAGTTGCTATTTCCTCTAGTATTTTTCTTGTTTAATTATATTTCTTTTCTCGTAATACCTCCCCTTTTTTTCACAGTGCCATAAAGGGTTATTGCCGCTTTTGCAGTCTCCAAAAGCCAAACCAAACTTTGGCAGCACTTGCACCTATATTAGGCTAAGCCATTCTAATTATCCTTGCAGGACACATGGTGAGCAATGGCATTGGATGGGAAGGGTTAAAGTTTAGGGACCACAACCACCAACATCATTAAACATAACAAACGGTTGGGTGTGTGTTTGTATTGGGCTTTGGCTTGTCGCGGTTTTGCCTGTTAATGAGTCAATTGTGTGCGCCCTCTCTCCCTTATCCCGAATTGTTGTTGTGGCCTGATTAGATATGCAAACACCCCACCCACACACAGCACTACTCACCACATTGTTATAATTTAATATCGATGGAATGGTTTTCGCGGCTTCCCTTCACCTTTGCCGCGATAAAAGGCCACATTTGATAAGCCAAAAGCGCTTTGATAAGCACAAACAAAATGAGTACTATATATCGGCAAAGTTGCTGATAAGCACATTTATCGATCGGTACGCTGTCAGTGGGAAAATCTGGACAAAGGACACACGTGTCGTCTCCCGAGCATTTAACTAACGTCGTCGTGATGGGAAAACCATGGGGATACGACCGACCGGCAGAGCAACTTGCTAAATCATAATCGGAAAACTTTACCCAAGTTGCTGTTTTTTTTTTGTTTTTTTTTGCTCCCCCCAACTTAAGCTTTTAGTTGTGAAAAGTTTATAGATTTTTGGTGAAAACTATTATGCATTAAACAGAGATTCCTGTGGAAGTGCAGCCTGCATTCAGGAGATTCTTTAAAATCTTTTTCTGATGGCCACATATGGTGGGAAAAGCCAAGAAATATTTAACAAATTTAATAGTTTGGAGATGGTTAAAGTACAGTAGAGGTTCTTTATGAATGAGAACTAACAAGTTGGGTTAAATAAAGAAACATTTACTTGACAAAAATAAGCAATAATAGTTCACCTACTCCATTATTATCTCTATTATTATTTTGAAAGTCTATAAAAACACTCTTCAGGAAGTTCATTTTATATGGTATTCACTTTTTTCAGAGAGCCTGCACTGGCATAAGCCCAGGAGAAGCTGGCTGGCAAAACTTTTGCCATATTCAACAAGCTGAAAAGAGAACTCGGCAATTGTTTTATGATTTTGATGCGGTTTTTGCATAAGAAATAAACCCGGAAAATGGCTGACAAAAGGCAAAAGCTGAAGCCTGAAAACCGCAGAGCGACAGGCGCCAAAAAAATATTGACGCTGCTTTCACTTAAGGTTTTGCATAAATATTTTTGTTTCATAGCAGCTCCTGCTGCTGCTCCTGCTTTTTTCTCCTTTCTGGCAGAGGCAGGAAGTTTATTTTCATTGCAATGTCACACTGAGTACCTTTTTCCCCCCAGCATTTTCCTTGACAGGCACACTTTAAACTGCAGGCGAGTGAGTCCTTTTCAAGGAGGCAGAGAAGAAGTGCTCAAGTGTCGTCGCCCCTTTTCGAGAGCTGGCTTAAGTGTTTGAGCCAAGTTGGGAAAAGTAAGGGGGCTATGGCTAGTACTACCGAAAAAAAAAACGTATCCAAAGGAGCTTCCAGGGGAAAAGTTTTTCGGGGCAACTACCAACCACTACAAGTTATGAACTTGTGTAGTTAAGTTTTAAAGCTGAGCTCCCGGATTATGTATTACTTTGCTGTGGGTCGTTTATCTGCCTGGTTTTTACGGTCAAGCCCAGTCAGTCCAAGCTGCGGTTTCTCTCTACCAAAAGGAAAAAAAATAAAACCATATTTGTCTTATTTATGCACAAGGCAAATATAAGCAAAAATAGCAAACCGCGCAAAGTGTGTGTGTGTTAAAAGCCTTTTGGCGAACATATTCCCACATAAATAAATACGAGTTACGCAAAGTAGCAAAATCCGCTGGCCAACAAAAAAGGGATAAGTCAATACGCCTGTGAAAACAAAGGGAAAATAGGAAACTCTTTTCTGCCACCCCCTTTCCTTGAGCCTCTTTTTGGTAATGCAAAACTAATCAATACAATGAAAATATTGACACAACTGCTGGAAAAGTCACTGCATATATACATATATAAAGTTGTCAATTGTCAGTTGTCGGTTTTTCGGGGTTTTGCAGCAGTTGTTATCCTGCTATAGCTTGGCTTGCTCGCACGTCCTTGGCGAAACAATGTAATTTAAATCCATTTTCAACACGTCGCCAATCAAAATGGCAAAAAGCTTTAGCGCGCGGCGCAAGTATAAGCAAACACTGGCATCCGCATAACTCAAAGGATCAGGATCAGGAGAAGGAGCCACATACGCTGCTGCTGCTCCTCCTCCTGCTGCTGTTGCTGTTGGGAAAACAATAAGATTAGCTTACTTTTCCTTTCGACGGCGGACGTGGGGCAAAGTAAACGTGAAAATAAAATGGGAAAACAGAAAACAGGAAAGAAAAACAGCGCATAGAAAAATAAACATCGAGCAGAAGCAACAACATCAGCAGATAGCTCAGCGCTCTGTTCAGAGATATGTCAAGTTATTTGCCTGGGCGAAATCCTTTAACTGCACAACCCTGAGAGTTAGACAAATAGCGTGCCGAAAGTAAAGGCTCCATAAGCTCGTTTTCCTCGCTTTCCTCGCTTTTCTCGCCTCCTCCTTGGGCTTTTCCCAAACAGGCATTGACAGGCCTGTCTCTGGGCCAGGCAGCAAATTAAATAACACATCGAGCTGTGTGTGTCGCTGAGCCTGGTTTATATTATTAACACCAAATCAAATGTACAACTCTTATCCCCTTTCGGTGTTATTTATAGACGCGGCGAGGTCTCTGCCTAAGACTTTGCTAATCAGCTTGATCCTTTCTGCGGCTTAATCGCTTGACATTTGTATTAGTTTCCCCCCTTTTGCCAGGTGTCAAACGGGGTCTCTGTAAATTAATCCTCCTTCGTGTTTCCGCCTAATTTTCACGTGTGTGCCCCATTAATTGACAATTGCTGTCCGTCACCTTTGGGTGTTATTTCCCCCTCTTTTACTTAGTATTTTTCTCTCTAGTTGGGATTTTCGCTTTTCATTTGTTTGATTTTGCCACAGGAGGCGTCCGGAAAATGCAGCTCTCTCTCTATGGCTTGTCTCTGTAGTCGGCAATTTAATTTAATTACAAGGTAACCTTATCACTGAAGGGAAAGCCAGCACCTGCCCGCAAACACACACAACACAACACAACAGAGCAGTTAACACATGCATTCGCACAACACACGGCAAACACATGCAAACAAGCGTTCTTCAGGGAAATGCATTTGCAATAAGCACTGAGGGAAATTCTGGTGAGGAAAATTCTACGTAAACTTGAGAAATCAGTAGCTGGGGACTTGGGTTTTCAGCAGAAGATACTCTGGCTTTAAGAATCCTTGTTTTTAAATATCTTTTTTTAATTAACATTTATTTCTAAAATCCCCTCAAAACACCCTCCTTTTTTTCTTAGAGTGCCTCACTTGAAGTGCATTCAATGAGCTGCAGTCGACCGTAGAACTCGCTTCGCTTCCATTGTCGATTGTCTTCTGCCGTTGGGCCTCCTGTTTGGCTGTTTTGGGCGCCGATTGCCAATTATGATGATTACCTGAATTTGCTGTTCGCACTTGAACGCGCGACTCGATTCGACTCGCCTGGACCCCCCTTGGAGGCTAGAAGACCGAGTAGCCCAGCTCAAGGCGCCTCTTCATTGGGCATTCATACAGCGATTAATCAATTGTGCGGATCTAATGAAGCCCGAGGAATGGCAAATGTTACACAGGAGATTAGACTGGGGGGATTTTGTTTGAGGGAAATTATATTTCAATCAAATTCTTTTTCAGACAACACGGGTGGGTTTCGGTCTCAGTCTCGGTCTCGTCGTCCCCAAGTGGCTGTCAACCCTTTTTGGCCGTAAAAGAGGCCACAGACCAGGCTCAAAAATTAATTTATCAAAATTACCCGAAAAACAAAACTCAGGGCAACAGATGTGCCATCGCTACCAAAAAGAACACACACACAGAAAACAATCACATGTCAAATTTGAAACCCACTAAACAATGCCAGTTGCGGACCTTTGGGGTTGGGATTTTTCCATGGGAAAGGGGGTTCTTTTGGGGGGCAGCAGAGTGGCTCTGTGGGCAGCTCTCGTTGCGGTCGTAACCGCGTGAACTTGCCAGAAATGAAGATAAATGCACTGGCATCTTAGTCAAGGGTCGTCGAAGCGCAAGTTGCTAGAGTAAGACATCAGCGAAAATAGAAACGGAAACCCAGGGGCTCCGCAGAGAGTTCTAGGCATGGAGATGGGGAATGGAGGAATGGAGGAATGAGGATGTTGCTACTTTTGCTTGTGGCAAAAGGTGAAAGGACATCCCTACGACATGACATATTAGAATCCTGTTACGCAGGAGCAACAGCTACAGCTATATCTACGGCAACGTTGCCGGTTGACTGCCAAATTGCCAACATAAATGTCGGGAGCTGCTGCTGGGAGTGGGGATTGCTGGAAAGTATGCTACGGGATTTTTCATTTCTGTTGCTTGGGTTTTCCCTCCTCATCCTATTTGTTTTATTTTCTATACCTTGCAATCACTCAGCCGTTGGATTTGCACATGTGTGTGCGACTAGATGTCTTCTTTGGTGCACTGAGGGAATAACTTTGAAGAATTGGAAATCTCATTTTAGACTGCCAGAAAAATGCCTTAAAATATTTTATTTTAGAAATAAGATGCCTGAAAGGATTTACTTTAATTTAAATAATGATTTCTCAACTCTATAGTTTTAAAACCCTTTTTCTAATCATTCTCAAAGACTATTTTGAACTCTAGAAAGGAATTCATCCCACAGCTATATTCTTACTAGCTCATTTTACATTTCTTCCAGTGCATGTATATGTTTTCCGTGTGTGTTTCTGAGAGGGAAGCAGATGATTTGGAAATCCTGTATTGCTGATTTGCTGTTGCTGCCTGTCGTCGCAGCTTTTGCCTTCAGGTGCGTGGGGTTAAAATCCCCTAAGGCCATGCAATGGATTTGTCTCTCTTGCCCCGCCCCTTTTTTTTAGCAGATGAAATAGATTTTCTCCCTTCTCCGGCTCAAGTTTAAAGCATCTCACAAAACAGGAAATTGGGGAAAATTTGGTATTTACGGAAATACCCAACTAACGAGGGAATTAAAAAAAAGAAAGAAGGAGTTGTCGCTGTCGCTGTCTCTCTCGTGTCTCTTCTAGTCTCCTGACATTTCTCTGACATCAGCCCGCTCATATATGATTTCTTAAGTTTTCTCAAGGAGCTGACAACAATTCGCTAAGCATCTTATCTTCAGCTTGCCACATTGCACTAGCAACGGGAAAAAGGACCCGAAGCAGGAGCAGCAGGAACACTAGCGACAGCAGCAACACAACAAATAGCAAATGACAGGCGGCGAAATATGACGCAAAATGCAGAAATAAAAGGAACAGTCAGGACACCAAACAATCAACTGAATGCGGCACAGGTGAGCCAGACGAGAACAAGACACAAAAGCCAATGAAGAGACAGCTACAGAGGGACGGCACAGAGGGGAACAAGGAGAAGAAGGACCCCAAGACAAGACATTTTCACAATGGACATGGGGCACAGAAAAGAAAAAACTGAATGAAATGAGAAATTGTATAAATATGTTGGCAGCAGCACACACACTCTCTTACACACACAAGATTACACACACTCCCCTGCATTTTAAGAGATTTTCCACTAGAGAAGACGGTGGCAGCAGCAACGGCGTTGACTTTTCCACTCGTCTGACTTGTCTCACGTTGTCGTCTGCGGGGCCAAACAACAAGGCCTTTTACTAGGATTAGTAGTTAACAAGAGAAATCTGCCCACACAACCAGCCAACACACACTATACACCCACTGTGTTGGCCACAGCCAAAAGGTAATCAGTGAAATGTAACTGTATTGTTTGGTCTAGCTGCTTGTGTTGTTGCTGTTGCTGCCTGTTACTGCTGCTGTTGCTGCTGCTACTTCTACTGTTGCTATTGTGGCTGCCGTGTCACCTAAGTCATAGGCTAGGTCTCTACACTAAGAAAAAATATTATATATTTAAAAAGGATTTTTAATAGAATATTTAGGCCAAATCTAGGAAGTAAAAACTAAAGAAGAAAATTTCAATTTTTGGTTAAGAATTCAGTTTTAGAAGCTTCAATATTTTTTGAAGGTTTATAAAGATCATTGAAGATTTTTTTTAAGGGTTTTTCTATATTTAATCTTTAGCTTTTATAATTTTCTTTACCCTTCAAATACCTTTTCTTTTCGTGTACTTTGGTTCTTGTTCTGCCAGTGCTGCAGCCTCTTAACCTTTTTTCGTTGTTGCTGCTGTTACGATCTCTTTTTAAGTAGTTTGCTTTTGGGCTCAACCATCCCAGCCACCCCAAGCACCACCACCACCCAAACCATCATCAGCGCAAGCCTCCAGCTTCAGCAGCACCAGAATTTCAGACCGTCAGGTGGCAGGGCATAGCCCACAAAAGGTGACAAGCTCGCTTTGGGCCTTCTTTTGGCCCAATTGTTGTTGCTCTTACTGTTGCTGTTGCTGCTGCTGCTGCTGCTGTTGCGGTTATCTCCCCCTCCGTCCCCCCCTCCACTTTCATTTAAGTAATCAAAATATGCTTTTGACTCGGAGAGCTAAGCAGCTGGCATCTCTATTCCTGATTCGTTTGTCTCCTTGGTATGCGTGTGGTTTCATTTGTATTTATGTATCTCCCTCTCTGTGTGTGTGTGCGTGTCCGCAAAACCCCAAAAACTATGCATTTTACTGTTGCTTTTGTGGCACAATGTGTGTGCTGGTGTGCGGCCATGTGTATTTATTTGAAAGCTTTTTAAACTTTGCCAGTGACTTTGTGGCTTACGAAATTAAAATTAGAAATTGGTTTACAAGCACCCACAAAGAGATGTCCTGCCAAAGTGGGTGTCGCGTGTGTGTATGGGTGTGTGCATTTATGATGGGTCCAAATCTCTCTCCTGGGAAAGGGTTTAAGTTGCCCAGAAAGTGTAATTAATCAGAGGGTTCTTCAACGCTGAAGCGACCCACATTTGCATATAAATCGCAGTTGCTTCATTTGTTTTCCTTTTTAGGAAGAAAACTTAATTGCCACATTAATAACACTTAAGACCGAAAGTTGTGCTAAAGGCAGATATCGGTTTCTAGGGAGAAAGTCTTCAAAGGAAACTTAACTTGAGCGATTATGGGATTTAAGAAAGCAAAAAACAAAAGGGAAAACCTTTGTGAATTATTAAATGTTTAGTTTGAAGTATCAGTTTTTCAATTATTCTATTAATATATATCTTTCCTATATAAAAAAAGCTTAACTATAGTTTTTTCTGTACTCACATTGTGGCTTTGGTCCGTCTTCAGTTCCCGATGATTGGAGAACTGCACGTAGACCATGCGGCCGCGCATCTGGGGCGGATTGACTGTGTAGCAGGACACCATTGACGTGGCGGAGATCTCGTCGGCCATCTCGATAAACGCCTGATTCTTGCCCTTGAGCACCAGGACGTTGGTCACGCGTCCGAATGGAAGGCCCAGGGCAATCACATCCGACTCGCCGGACTCGTTTGGAATGTTGCGCAAGTGGATGACTTTGGAGGCCTTGGCTGGAATGAAGACAAAAAAAAAGGAGAAACACATAAGCGAACATTGTTTAACCAATTGAAATATTAAACAGCTGACAATCCCTGCAGGTCTCTCTCTTCTCTCTCTCTCTCTCCCTCTCGGTGGAACCATCTCCGGCTCAGTTAATGGCCAGAGATGTCTGCACTTCCGCTTCCGCGCTTCCCTTAATTTGTTTATTTTTGGGTTTTATTTGCAGGCAGAGGAAAGGACGAAATAAAAACGTTGATAACATGGCCAAATGCTGCCACATTTGTATACACTTTGCCCGGTTAAGCTTGGGAGTTGGGCGGAGAACGGAGGACCATAAATTCATTCATTGCACACTTTCAACGGCTGTGAATAATCCAGCAGCAACACGGCGACAATGTCCGGCGCACAGACAACGTTTGAGGCTTTTAGCCACTCCGTTCCCGTTCCCCGTCCGACTTTTTGCAGCTCCTTTACCTCCTCTCTTTTTTCCCGCCCTCAAATACTCGACTTGTTTGTTATTTTTGCATAAATAAAGCGGACAGGGAGGCCCCCAACCCACCATCCACCCACCCACCCAGTGGTGTGCAGCACAAATGGGATTTTAGGCTGCCTTTGGCCCTGGAAGCGATTGCAGCCAAATTTTGGGGATATCCCTGACGCAGCACTGAGCGAAAATGTGGGTTTTAAAATCATGACAATCCTCAAAGTTTCTAATATAAACTAAAGGTAGCTTTAGGTAAGCTAAATATATAATAAAATCCTTTGAACTTTTCTTTGTATTAAAAGAAAACTACTTTTTTCGGCTAGTGAACCCTAACCTTCTCTGGTCTCTGTCCCAAAAGTACCTTAAATTTTTATAAACAAATTTTAGCCACTCTTTATGGGTGAATTGCAGTTGCAAAAGGTGGGATGTGCAGGGCAGAATGGCATCAGGATGGCTCTGGATCTGTCTGGCGCTTAGTCAACACCTGTTAATGTGTTGGTCTGTGTTGTGCGCTTTTTATTTTCTTGTGGCACCTGCAGGAGAGACCAGAACCGTTTGCCAGCCATTCCGTTCATATGCAAATGCAATGCAGTCTCCCCTACTGATTTTCACACAAACACACACACTCTCAGTCAGAGGCTCATCCTCCGCCTCGACTGTTTGCTAAACAAGCCAACAAACACATGGTCAGAGATAGTCCACGGGTGAACGTGGTCTGCCACTCCGGATTCAGTCCATCTGTCGTTTTAATTATGCTCAAATTTAAAGCCAAATGGGGAGGTTTTAAAGTTAAAAGCGGTTTGAACGGAAAAAGTTTGAAACTTTGGTTTAAAAATAAGCCTAAAAAATAAATTTTAACAGGTTAAATTTGTAATAAAAACTTTGAAATAAACTTTGAGATTTGTAAAGGCTTAAATAAAATTTTAAAAATATATAATAAATTGCAAGGCAAGTTAAACTTGAAGAAGATTAACAACTCCTTTAATTTATTAATAGTTAAATTATCTTATTTAACCTAACCATTTGCTGGCCCCAAAAAGTGAGTTACGAATTACCTAGATTGAGATAAATTGATAGTTGGCTCTCTCCTCTGAACTTTTCGCCCTCATAACTCATAATGTAAAAGGGTCATTATCCGACCAATTCCCCACTTTCAATCAGGCCAGCAGACGACGACGACGACGGTGGTCTTGGGGGTCAATGTGCCGATTTATTACACAATGCAAGGAAAACCGGGCCACAGAAAAGGTCCCTTTTTCATACTCCCCACCTTTTGTGGCCGGACTACTAAAAAGGAAAAGTCGGAGGCTCGAGACTCGAACTGCACTCGGTGAACTCTCCTCCAGAAGTGCTCCAGAGGGGAGCCTGCCCTCTTCCCTGGTCAATGCTGAATACAACTAATCGGAAATTACACTTTTTGATTAGTTCGAAACGGAAATGAAGCTGAAACGAAATTATGCAGTCGGGGCCTGGACCTGGACGTTATAGTTTGGGGCCAAGCGCTCATTCAATCGACCATTCGAAAAGGCAGCTCAAAAATTTATTAAAAATCAATGGGCATGGATGGGCAGGCAACTACTGCGAGGAGAGCGATGAGATCTGCTCCATCACTCGCCGGTTCCCCCATAAATAACAGCCAAAAACGACAGCAAAAATGCTGCTGCTGCTGTTGCTGGAAATCGAAACTAAATAAAAAGCGAGGGCCACGCCGGCACCGGAAATGTTCTGCAAAAGACAAACAACAAATCAAGTGCCGTTGGGCCAGTTGACGGAAAAAATGGTGCAGCGGAGGGGTGAAAATATGTAAAAGTATCTATCATGCAACAAACGAAAAAAAAACTACTAGAATTTGTGGATTTTTTGACGTTTTGCCATCAACAACTCAACTCAATTCGGTTTTCGGCAGCTCTTCTTTTTTTTGTTCTCGTTTTTCAGTAGATGTTCCTCTCGCTGCTACATTTGTTTCAAATCGCAAACAAAACGCGGTGTGAAAACGAGCCACGAATCGACAGAGGCGACAGTGAAGGAGCGCCTGCGGCTGTTCAAATGGCTTCGACAAAAGGCAGAGCGGCCATAATTGAAAAGGAAGATGGCGCCGACAACCGGAAATGCAGCCAACGAGCTTGACAGCTGCCAAATGCTAAGGCAAGTACAGTGAAATCTGTATTAAAAAGGATATGTTCGAGGTATTTTAATTAGAAATCTTCTGAGGAACATATTCCTTGATAGTTTTCCATTTGAAATGTTTTAAAAATATTTTTTTTTAATGCAAATCTCAGTTATATATTATTGATTTAAAGGCTTCACTGTATTCACTTTTAGTCAAGCAAAAAACTATGCAATTTGAGTCAGACTCGTGTCCAAGGCCTGCGGATATTTAGACTTGCTTTGTAGTTATGAAATCGCTGCTTTTTAATTAACTTCCCAATGTTAAATAACCCAAATCAGCCGCAAATATTTGCACGTCAAACAATAAAATGCAATTTTGTGGCCAACTTTCGAATTAATCACAAATTTAAAACCATCTGTTCCGAGTATGAGAAGCTCTTTTCCACTGATACTCGCTGGTAATTACAGGACAATGCTAAAATCAACAAGACCCAAAATGCATTAACTGCCCTGGCTGGCAATAAAAAGCGAAAAAAGTGCAGTGGCGATAAAAATTTGCATTCGATAATGATGATGCTGGGCGCGTGCAATGCGCGATGCTTGTTGACTGTCAATGTGCCGTGAGAGGATGATGATATGAATAGCAATCATTCGCTTCGCTGGGCGTTAAAATGAGCTGCTGCTGCTGCTGCTGCAAGGACGAAAGCGGCCAAAGCTCAACGGTATTAATGACCGCCTCGAACCCCACATGAAAACCAGAGGCAGCTGCTTTCAATTAAACACACACACACTCGGCACACACTCAGCATGAGTTTGCACGAAAAATATACATAAATAAACTATTTATAGCTAATTGAAAAGTTTACAAACTGTAATTGAGTTCGGACGACGATGGTTGGGCCGTAATGAATGGTCAGTCGGTGAGTCTGTCCGGCGGCCAATGCGGCGTATGTGTAATAATTTGCTCTGCAACGACTCTCCCTCCCCTTCATACGAAGTTAATTAATGACAATTTAAATTCATAAAGCAAACAGAAAACCCCAAAACGAAAAATGTAAATGAAAATGAATGGAAAAAGCGAGTCGTTGAACAAAAGAAAAAGGGTTTTCTCCCCCAGGATCGAGTGTGTGAGAGTGTGTGTGGTAGGCGGGAAAACAGGAGGCGTGAAATAAGTGCTGATTGTTAATAACAATTAAATTTATGCTTACACGGCGGCATTTAATGATTTAATGTGTGAGAGCATGACGTGACGCCAGCCAGTGTTTGTCTATAAGCTCCGCCCTTTGCCCATTTCCATTTCCCTTTCCCTTTCTTTTTCAATTTTCCATACACCGCGCTTTCCCTTTCCCCTAACCAAAAACTTCTGAGCCTTTGGGTGTGTCAACATTCGAATATATAATTTGAATAAATACGAGCGTTCGAGCGTCTTTAATTATGCGATGGTAAATTAGATTTTTACAAGCTCACACATCATAAATTTTAAATTGTTGGGCAAACTTGTGTGTGTCTGTCGGTCTGTCTGTTTGCCGAAGGACTTAATGATATTTACATAGCCTTGCCCGGCCTTGTCTTTAATTTAAACATTCGCCCACGCATAATCAATCATGGCACAATTTTTTTGGCAGCAAATGAAACCCAATGCCAAAGGCAAACACAGGCAGTGTTCATTTTTCCCGGCTCCACACGTGCTCTCTCTCTCTCTCTCTCTCTGGGCCATAATTGAAAATAACGATTTTCTTTTTGCAGCTCGGGCCTAACACCCGCAAGAAATGTAATTCATTAAAAATTTTGTCATGGAGCGGGTCCTTCGGCTGCGAATGCAAGGAGTCAACGTACGCAGCTGGGTCTCGTCCGGATGATGACGATGACGTTGATGTCGACGACGTTTACAAATTTTAATTGCATTTCAATTACGAAAATAGTTTTTTTTCCCCCCGCTCACATACATACATGTATGGGGAGCTTTTCCTTGCCGGGAAAATGCATTGGCATTTGGAAGGATGCAGTCTAGGAGGACTTCTCCATGTCTGTGTGCAGTCAAGTGGCATTCAGTCAAACAGCCCATAGCCAGGACCAGACTGCCAGATTGCAACCAAGGATGCGAGTCCACTAAAGAAAAAGAGGGGTCTTTCAAATCTGCTTAATATTTTCAAGTAAAAATTATATAATTTCAAATAACAATTCTTCTTTATTTTATTAAATTTAATACTTGGCAATGCAATTCTAATATTTATATGGGAATTATAATCTTTTCTGGCAGTGCAAGCCCCTAAAGTATATCAATTGTTTAAGTTATGAACCAACAGAGTTGAACCGAGGAAAGGAAAAGCAGTAAGCAAAGCATAGCTTTGGTTTGTTGGTCCTGGCAAAACTTTTTCCACTTCATTTGTGCATTAAAATTACGCACACAAGAGCGGCCAACTGGGCGTATGCTTAATTAAATGGCACACACACACACAGAAATACATATTTCGCGAGGAAAGTCAGGCCAAAAGTCAAGCCACACCCTACCGCACTCACGTACAGTGACTGCCATAAATGGCTGCACAGACAACGGAGTCAAACCAGTTGACAATTGCTGTTTGCCTTTTGGTCTGGCCGGATTTTTATACTCCTTTCAATGCTGTCTCAATATTGATACAGAAAAAAAATAAACTGAAACAGAGAGAGAAGGCAAAAATTATGACAATATTATTTTATTGACTGCGAAAATATTTACACGCAACGCGTAGAGACGACCAGAGGAGACGTGCGAATGATATTCGAGACAGGGCGGCACGCGCACGCCAGGATTCAACAGGATTCACTGGACTCGTGAATTCCGACTCGGACACGGACACTTGCCAAACTGTCGCCTTATTGGTTATGGCAATAAAAACGTTCAAGTGTTTGGCCAGCAGCAGCAAAAGGGATTGCCCATCATCGCTCGCACACACTTGAGCTTTAAATTGGCGGCATGACGCCACAGTGGGCGAGTTCAAGTTGATTTCAAGATTTGCAAGGGGATCAAGGGATCACCGGTCATGCATAATGAAAATATGCGCACACGGGGATATATACAAATTTTGTAAATATATTTTTTTTTGTTTTTTTTAGCATATTCTCTTGCCTGTCTGGGCGAGGAATTAGCCATGCTAAAAGCCGGGGATATATATTTTTTTTATACTCAAACGGCAACAGCTGCGTAGCAAAGGAGTTTCGTTGTATTTTTTCCAAAGGCGGCATAGGTGGTGAGCTGACCATTAAGCCCCCAAAATCGGTCAATAAACAAACAAATGTTGGTGGACTATACAAACAGCGTGGCTGCGATGCATGTGTGAGAGCTGTAACAATAAACAACAAACTGAAACGGCAGGAGGTGTGTGTGTGTGGTGTGGAGGGTGTTGTGTGTATGGCCAGTGTGGCGACAACAAAAGCAAAACACGGTTCTGGCCACGCTTGATGTTTCCAGCCGGACACGCGACATGGCCACGCCATCGGAGGCACAGGGAAAAATAATAACCAAAAATCAAAAAGAAATTAAAAAACAAAATAAATAAAAATAAAACAAATAAAATAATAAATGAAACAAAAAGAATGTTATAAAGAATACTTAATTTCTTATTTGTTTCAAGAAAAAAGTCATCTAAGGACTATTTAAGACTTTCAAGAAGAATTCTAAAATCTCCAAATTCTCTAATTTCTATTTCAGCTTCAAATATGTAGAAAATTCATAAATTTATCTTTTCATTTCACTTTAATTCTAACTTCTTTAACTCTAAAAATAAATTACTTTTATTGAACTATTTTCTTTTACAACTTTTTCTTGTATTTACTTGACTTTTCTTTGCCTGTAGTTTTTGGGGAATTAGCTAGTACTGTTTCTGGACTCCCTGGGGTCTCGTATACCTGGCATAAAATATTCCTAATAATAAAAAATCAAATAAATCAAGCGAAACTATTTATTAGCAGGCCGAAAATTCAGCTGCTGCTGAGTCCCAGTACTAGTCAGAGTCTTGTTTCCCATTCACTTGGTTCATTCAATTGCCGCACGCACACACCAGGACACTAAACCAACACACACACAGGCCATAGTAGCCACTCAGTTCAAGTGGATGGGCGTGGCACCACTCCCCCCCTTTCTATACGCGTTGCACATGCCAAAGTGTTTTTATTACATTTACGTGAAAAATTTGTTGCATGTCCTGCGGAGTCCGTGTAACGGAAATAAGCATGAGTGTGTGTGAGTGTCCAGGGCTATCGATGTATTGGTTTAGTGGCACACACAAATACTCTTACAATCGAACGTGGAGGAGTGCGTGTGTTTATCTAAGGCTCGACCACACAATGCTCATTGTTGCTTTTCGGTCTCCTGCTATTTACTTGTCTGGCCTTTGTGTTGCGCTGTCCCCTCTCACTCTCTTGCGATCCTGCTCTTCTTTTCTTGCAGTGCAATAAAAGTGTCCTTATACATTTATTTAGCAATTCCTTTTGTTATTATTTCTGCCTTTTGTGTGTGTGCGATGCTTTAAGTGTGCGTTGCCAATTCATTGGGTTTTCACGGATTTCTTTTCCCAGCTTTAAGCGCGACTTTAATGGCTGCCTTTCGCTTGCTTTTCCTCTGTATGTGGGTGTGTGTGTGTTTGCTCAAGAACTTTGCGTGGAAAATTAAAATGGCCGCAGGTGGCAGGTGTCAAAAGAAGAGGAGGTGGCCACCAAAATGCCGTTGGGTCAAAGTCGTCGTCTGTGCGGCGGCGGCCATCGAATACAATGGGCAAAAAGGGGCGCCAAAAGGGAAGGAAGGGTGAAAAGGTGAACCGCTAACTGCCTTTACATCTCTCTCTCTCTCTGTTGGTGTGTGTGTCTGCTTGTTGCTTTTTAATTAATAGAAAAGTCCTTTGTAAAGTAATAAATAAATATTATGCTTCCGCTTTTGCGTACACTCTCCATTTTTTTTTCTCGCTTTCCGTCGATTGCCATTCACAGGCTTCCTTTTGCTCCCATTACACCCTTCCTTTTCCTGTTTATTTTTTTGTATTTTCCCGCTGACCTTTGACTGTCTGGCGGCTAATACTCAAGCCTTCTCTTTGTGGCAAGTACATACATATATAAAGCCCCAACAGCGCCATCATCCGCCATGTGGCTGCCGGCACTGAATGCTGTTAATTACAGCGAAATTGCAAAAGCATTTTCAAAAACACCTTCCCCCCCAAAAAAAAAAAGGAAATCGATACCATATCCTGTGCCCTGCAACCTGGCGTCGGCGGCTGACTGCATGTGGCGTTAATTAAATTCACCCCAAAAAACAATCGCCGTGCGGAGGCAGTCGATTACTTTTGAATTTCAGCAGCGGAAATTGTTGCCTATTGATTTGTTTACACTGGCAATCATTTTGTGGTCCACTGGATTTTTGTGGGTGGGTGGGTAGTGATTTTCCGTATTTCGGTTTTCAGTTAGCGAGGCCTGCCTGTGCTCCTGCGAGCCTGTCAAATATTTGCCTAATGTGTGGTTCATTCTGCTGGTTTCGCTTCAGTTTCGTCGGGTTTTTGGTGTGCGGTTTTTGATTAGCTTTATTACTTTGCGGCGGTCATATGCATAGGGTGGGTTTTTTGGGGGCTGCCACCGCCGAATATGTGTGTATTTGTGCGGCTAATTAATGTGTCGACACAGTGCGTGGCCAGTCAGCGGCCAACGGTCATAAGGCAAAGCGTACGGAACCACCATTTTTCCCCTTCATAATTTCCACAAAGTGGGAAGAGAGAGAGGAGAAAGCAGAATGTTTTTGCCGTTGACTTGTTTTCCATGCTAATTAGTAGGTTAATTGGCTATAGGCATCAAAGCGCGGGCGCGCACCTTCAATTGGGCCACTCAAGTGCGACTTTGGCGACTTTGTTGCCAAGTTGAAGGCTTAAGTCTAATGCTGCACGGGGGAAAAATGTGAAAATGTAAGAGGGACATGGGTATAAAGGTTCGAGTTCTAATATGAAATGTTTAATTTTACCTATTTCCATAAATGTCAACTCTAAAGCTTAATATCACACTCAATAAGTGGCTTCACATTCCACCATTTCTCTTCCTTACTTATTATCCCTATTGCCTTTTGTCTTAGTCTATTTATTTTCTTCCCGTGTGACCGATTTTCCCAGTGGGCGTGGTTAATTGGCAGACAAAACCCCTCCACGGGGCACCCCAAGACTATGGCTGCAAAATGCACTTAACTTGAGCGTCGCTCAGGGGACAAAGGCAAAACCTGGTGAAGGTAAAGGTAAAAGCTTAAGCCAAGACAAAAGGACGAAGCAGAGGTAACAGCTAACTGGTAAAGGTAACAGGTAAAGGTAATAGCAACGGTAGAGAGAAAGAAGAGACACAGAGACAGAGAGATAGAGCTGAGGAGGGGGGAAAACTTACCAATTCCGCCGGCCAGAACGGTGCCCGGTTCCAGCTTGGCCTTCTTTGTGGCCAGGTCCTGATTGTTATTGTCGGAAGCGGGCGCCATGACTGCTGCTTGACTCAAAAGTTCGTCGCTTCCGCGCTGATTTACAGTCGCACACGGTAGTAGTTTCAGGTGCGGGTACAGAGATACAGATGCAGATGCAGATGCAGGAGCGGGAGCAGATGCAGGAGGCAGGAGCAAGGTAGGCACAGGCACAGGCAGTTGGTTAATACATTATTTTTTTTATACATTTTATATATATATATTTTATATATTTTATGTTTGTTTGTAGTTTTGTAGTTGAGGCACAGGCGGCAGGGCAGGCACAGACAGAAGTTGAAGATGGTTACAGATGGTTTTATTTTCAGTAGTAGTGGTGGTGTGTAGTTGTAGTAGATGAAGTATATATATACGTATACGAGTACGGTACATAAAAAGAGAAAAATAAAAGAGAGAGAGAACAATATAAATATTTAATATTTACGCAAGTTAAATAAATTACAGCGATTCTTCATGGAGCAGAGCAGCATTTGCCCAGCTCTCTGGGAACTGGCAAGTGGGAGCTGAGCTGAGCGAACTGGGATCTAGGATCTGCTACTGGGCCTTGGTTACATGGATTTTGTTTAGGTTTGGTTTTTCAGTTTGGTTAGCGTCAACAAGGTAAGTGGAAATTACTGTGCCAAGCAGGTAATCATTATGCGGTGTTAGCTTAGCTATTTACTGACCACCGCAGCAGCTTCATCAAAACTAAATCCACTTGGTTAATCCCCTCCCAAAATAATAATAATAATAATAAAAAAACAGCAGTGCAAATAATTGCAGAGCTCGGGGGAAATATTCATCTGAATTAGCCAAGCTAAGCAGGTTTAGCAGCAGCGCATTGAGGTTCTCGTTTCGGCTTGTGCTCCTTGCTTGTGCTTCTGCTTTCTGTTTGCTTTTTTTTGCTCTTGCTTTATTGCAGCGCTAAACTCTAATTACAAAGCACATGAGTGTATTGTAATTACATGTGACACTTAATTACCGCACTCACACAACGAGTCGAAGCCAAAACCAGAAGCGGAAGTTCAAGCACAAGCAGCAGCCATCGAAGGGAGCAAGCACTGAGGGAAATTGTGGATCAAGTATTGCTTTTGCTAATGAATAAATATAAATAAATTAAAGTTTAATAGATTTTAATGTTGCCAGTTAGAAATGCATGTTGCTAAACATGTTGCTGGCAACATATATGACAAAAAGTGTCCTTAGAATTCTCAAGTTTAAATTCTGTGACTGAAAAAGCCTGATGACTCACAAATATCATTAATTTATTCAAGTTTCAACTACTTATCCCCTCTCTTTTCTTGCCGTGTCTGAATCAGAATCGAAACCAAAAGCCAGGAGTCGGATTCCCAGAGAGCATCGAGAGTAACCGAGTTAAGCCAAACATTAAATGTAATGCGCCCCATAAAAATAAAGCTGCTACAGAGCTCCCAGCTACTGCTGATGCTGACTGTATTGTGCTAAGCAGGATGCGACTATGTGTGTGTGTGTGTGTGTGTGTTTGTTCAGTTCCTGCTGCTATGCATTAGCGGCAATGACAAAAAGTCAATAAACGAGGAAGAGAAATTGCTGAGGGGGAGAGCAGAGCTCACATATACACACTCTGCACACCGCACAAATTGAAAAGGGTAATTTTGTGTGAAGTAGGCACCTTTATGCCTCCCCCAGCAGCTACCAGCTACCCCACTCTCTCGCCGCTCCCCAGACATCAGCTATCAATGCTGACTACGCTTGAATTCGCCACTTGGCTTATCATCATGCTGCGCGCTTTTGCTACTCTGCTGCCACTCTGTGCTTTCTGCTTTTGCTTTCGCTTTTGGCTTATTTGCTTTTTGCCTGCTGGCGCGGCTTGTTGCTTTTGTTGTTCTCTTATTTGTTATTTGGTTTTTATTTTTATACGGCTGCACGTTTTATATACATCCGCACACATAAAGGAATTAGCTTAAATACAAAAACAACATGTGGTAATAGGAATAATAAGAAAAGCCAAAACGCACACTCACACATAGACAAACCGCAGGAGCACTTCACTTGATAATATCACACACACAAAAAACGACAAAAAAAAAAAAAGAGAAAACCGGAAACTCTCTGTCTGTGTGTGAGATTTGCTGTGTGTTCTTGTGCGTGTGAGTAATGATATCAGCAGAAACTGTGCATTGTGTTCAACATATGTTTTCTTTACTCCCAAAAAATGTGGCATACTTGTTGGGTGCCAGCGAAAAAAAAGCAAAGCATTTAGCTTAAAATAGCAGGTTTTTTATAATATTTAATATTTTAATAAATTATTTTACAATTTAAAGGGAAATTATAGTTTCCAATTAAGTATATCCTTTTAATATTTCCACTAACACCTTTATTTTAAAATTTCCCTTTGATAAACCCTTTTGTTAAGCCAACCCTAATAATAAATTCCGTTTCATTTGTAATGCTTTCCTGACCAAAATGTAATTGGACAAACAAAAACACTAAAAACACTTATTTAACATACGCTTTTTTGTTTGTAAAGGGCTTATTTTTGCGGACATTATTAGGATAATGCATATTGGTTACTGCTGTTTTTCTGGGAGGTGGTTGGGCCCGTTCCTGTGTCGGGTAATTAAATTTTAAATGCCCTACCCCTTTGCGAAAAAAAAAGGAACGGGTGGCCAACTAACTGCGCTTACTTAGTACACGGTCTCTAATGCATTCGTTATGGCACATTAACGCTCCCCAAGTGCCAGTGTGCGTGGCATGCTACAGGGATTTGCCGGCTCTCTCCGTGGGATATATCCTTGGCTGGCGGCTGGCACAAGTGTTGTAATGGAGGTTGGGTGTGCATTACACGGTTCAAAAACCTGGGCTAATGCCCTCCACAGCAGTTGAGCTGTTGGACTTTGCGACGATTTCCTTTTTGCCAAGCTGACCGGAAATGTTATTTTAATATGCTTTCTAAAAAGTATGCTAAATATTTGATTACCAACTGGGCGTCCTATGTGAGTCCTCCTTCACCCGCTCCCTGATGCCTTGCCCGTGTGCGTTTATGGCACATATGGCCAGGACGATAAGCTGCTGTCCACTTTCCCGAAGGGTGAAGGGGGAGGAGGCACAGAACCCAAGTGGACCGTTTCATTGTTGTCTCGCCTCTGTGCCATTTTAATGAATTTTCCCAGCGCCACCCCCTAGATTTTCCCACACCCAACGTAAGCAACGCCCCATTGCCGAAGGGCGTGGGCAGTTTTCTGGGCACTCACTGATTTCTATGATGACATGTGCCTTTTCAGTCCCCTCCTGTCTCCTCTCCGTCTTTCTCTTTCTCTCTGTGTCTGTGTGTGTCCCTCTTTCAGCGTGTTTCCTTTGCTTCCGCCTTTGTTGCCGGGTAACTGGGTCAGCGCGCAATTGTTGCCTCTGAGGGTTGCTAGCTGGATATACCCCCATCTCCAGTTTCCCATCTCCCCCAGCTGCTGGCCCTTGTTGTTGTCCGAGGCAGCGGTGGAAAGATAATCACGCATATGCCTAACGGTTAAGTTTTTGAAGTGCGACACGCTGACGGACACGGAATACGGAGAAGGGAATACGGACTACGGACTACGGAGTACGGATGAGACGGAAGCAAAGGGTGTCAGCGTCATCAGAAGCTAGCAAAAAAGCCTACACTTGCTTTGCCTTTATTGTTGTAATGAGCAATTCAGGGACTGAGAGAAAAAGCTTTTATTGAAAAGAAAAATAATAAAATTATTTGGAACTCTCGAAAAAGGACTTGGGAATTATAAGCAAACGGAAACCAGAGAGGAGCATTGAATCTCTAAATATTATTACAAAATAAATTCTAGAATTCAAACCCCCTTTAATCCCAGTGCAGAATTCTTGTGTCTTCCGTATTTGTCCATCCCTTTGGACCCAGTCGGTCGGTCGGCCTTGCCTTTCTCTTTGGGGGTTGGGGGGTTGTTTAATTTCCCACAATGCGGCTCACATGCGATTTTCTACTCGAAGACGCTTTAAAAAGGGAGCAAAGCTGAAAAGCTGAAGCACACGCACACACAGATCATGTGTAATTGAGAGCAAGGCAAATGATATGCACACCCACACCACCATGTGATTATCCACAGTCGAAAAAGGGGACTTTGGGGTATTATTATTACAGAAAAAAAAGAGAAAGACAGAGAGAGTTGCCTGGACACGAGGCAAAAATAAAAGTGCCCAAATTAGAAGGCAGTCCGGCGTCCTCCCAATATTCCTGCGTAATGAGCAGTTTTCCTGCGTCTCTTCCAGTTCCTTCCATGACTTGTGATTTGTCTCGTCGTCGTCCACTATCAAAATTTCATTTGCCACAAAATGGCCATGGGAGTAAGCAGTGAGTCAGCAATCCAGTCAGTTGGCTCGGCTTTAATTCAGCCACGAGAGCACCGAGTTGATAATAACTCCGGCACACACAACCAAGACTGAGTGCGGGTTGGTGGGGTAGCCAAAGGGGCACGGTACGGGCACATCATATCAACGCCCTCATATATTGCATGGCCTCCTCTGTGTTGTGCTCCACAGCTCTCTTTGTCATGAATTTATGACGACGGCATATGAATATTAAAATCGAATATGTTGCTGTCGATTAAAGGCTTTTCGTTTTGTCTGACTGTCTGTGCTGTACAGCACACAACAGCAGCGGTCATCAGCATAAGGTCTTCTGGGGGATCAAATGCTTTAAGAGAGGGTTTTCTGGGATTACTTCCCTTAGAAATGTGTGACATTTAAAATTTAGTAGAAAAAGGGTTATTAAACTCAAGTCAAAGATGGAAATTGAAGGCAGAAATTGATTTCATAATGAGAACTTTAATATTTAAAAGGGTCTTAGAAAGATTATTATATTTTGCTTATAGCAAATATGTACAGACTCTCAGATAAACGTTGGCTTATTCTTGAAGTAATTACTGCTATTCAATGTATGTAATTATTAGCTTACTTATTTAAGTATTACATTAATATATTTATAGAATTTATTATACTATTATGTCAACCTCTTCTGTCCCAGTCCCCGTGTGTTTGTTTCGGTCGCGACACAGATACGACTCAATATTTCCGCTGGT